AGTAATTAACCTCAGGCTTAAAATCAGAGGCCATAGCTTAAGATCAGGCTCTAAGTTGACAGCAGGTGACTTGAACAAAACATCTGACTGACAGCACGATGTTCTATCATAGGTACCCCACAACATAAGGGGAGCGGGGAGGGCTGTTTGAAAGAAAACAAAAAGAAACCTTTTCCCTGTCCCCTCCAACGCAGCCACTGGTCTGCTCAGCCAACAGGAACTGATCTCTCTGCTAATCAGCTTGGTCTCTATGCACCTGCACTGCTGTTTACAACGATTCCATGGCCGCCATTGCTTTCTGGAGGCAGAAATCTAAGTCCTTCATTAAGCAGACTTCCAGCTGAGTAAGCAGCAATTAATTTCTACTATCAATTTTATTGCAGTAAGTAGTTACATCATGACAATGCACTTTATTGAATTTAATTACTACACTATAGGAGATATCTGTGCTAGACGTAAGTAATTGTCTAAATTGTCTACATGCTATTGACCAACTGTTAAATTTTGAAAGTGAACATAAGACCTTCAAACAAGGGTGGATTTTGTCCTGAGAACTACTACTGTTAGTTTCATACCTTCACTTCAGTATGAGTACTTTTCATATTTTTCACTTCATATCAGGAAATTACATAAACAGAAGGACAGATCGTCAGTTAGTTTGTATTATCACGGTCCCATAAAAACTTGATAAAATTAGACTAAGACCACTGCAAGTTTTGGTTAGAGGTCTTGAATAGTTTTCATTTATTTTTAGTTTACTACTTTATTATTCACATTATTCATAGCACAAGCAATGAGAATGACTTTTTTTCTTCCTCTTTCCCATTTGGTCAGACTTAGCAAGCATCAGCTGTTTCAAACAAAAATACAGTCAGTGTACCAGCTGGCAGTAGTAAAGCAGTTACCCGTATCACCCAACAGGCATTAATTTTAGTTCACATAAACCTCTTATTTCTATACCGATCTGCCCTCAAGCAGCGTGAAGCATCTAAACTAAATTGACCTTAACTTATCCAAAGATCATTTTCTTTCAGATAAAACGAAAATCCTTATTCAAGACAGTACAGAACTTACACGTGTGAACCAGAAGAGTGCACTACTGAGTCAGGCAAAACATAAATTTAACATTAAATTTTCATCTTTCATTAAAAATTGGAATACAACATCTATATTTAAACAACTTTATTAACATAGTCAAGCAGTGATTAACATTCACATCTATTATGTCACATCATACAAATGTAAATACAAAATTACTACAGTACAATATATATTCTCTGCATGATCCAAAATATTTGGTGGCCCCAAAAACTCTTTAAAATTCAGCAGCTTATCAAAAATTAAAACCATATTCTATTTAAAATGAAGTTCTGTTAGCACATAGGCAGACTTCAAGAAATATCACTCAATTTAGTACAGTTTGAGAGGTTGCAGGAGGATATGTTTGAAGGAAACATTCCAACATTGTGGCAGATACAGAAACATCAGATTTAAAGCTTTCAAGCAAAACTCATACAACCTAAGTTGTCAGCAGAAAGATCCAGTAATCTTTCATTTTAAATATTTTTATTTTTCTAAAATATATTTTGTGTACTGCATCCAATTTAAAGTTTTACAAGTGTCTAGTATTAGTAAGTCAGACAATGTACAGCATAACTACCTATCTCTTCCCATGAGAAAAACCAATATTACACTTGAGATTTCAACAGCCAAATGAACCTGCTTATACCAATCTTTTTTTCTAATTGCTGTCCTCACAAAAACCACCCAGGCCTTCTCAATTTTATTGCTCACCCGAAGTAAGGAAATATATACCTAAGGCGAAAGTAGCACAACAGAACCAGCTTGTAGAAAAATGACACTATACTATAAGCACTGAAATCTTCAAGATGTGAATTTGGCTTACTTAAAGTATACTGTAACACCACACAGGTATTCATCTTATAGAGCCATTTTAAACTTCCCTCATAAAAGTACATTCAAGTGAATAGGTATCCTTATTTTAGCAGAACATACTCTACACAAGGCAAGCAACAAGAGTACTCGCCTCAGTTCCCCATGTAAAATAATAACCTAAAACTGGCTTGCTCCAACCATTAAGTGCAAACAGCAAGCATCAGTGGTAGACAAAAACCAGTTTCTACTGGAGAAGAAAACCTAGAAGACTGATGGATGTAAGTCATTCTGGAGAATGCATAGGTGAGTGAAATACACAGCTACTGATCAAGCTTTATTTATGCAAGATGAGGTTACTGGAAATACTTACGTAATATATAACAACTGTGTATGCAAACCACATCAGCGTCTATCTGACATAACTGCAGGATGTTTTGCCATTTACAGCAGTCATTTCACTGTAGAGCTCAACCTTTATCTAAGATAAAAACTTACTCTTTAGACCCTATATAGAAGAGCTTCATGCATCTATCATCCTCATAAAAGAGATAGTATTGAAACAATTAGTGTTAAGTTGCAACTTCTTGACAAAATCTGAAACCAGCAATTTCCAATATGATATTGCATTTAAAGCATTCTTCAAGAAATATTTCAGTTATTTGAATATGGATGCATTCTCCTCAAGGGAAGAATGTTTTTGCACCTTGTGTTAATACATTCAATATGAATAAAATAGGTGAAGCAAAAGTCATTATTGTCCCACAGTAGAAGGTTAATTTAGAGTAAGTTTAAGACAGAGGAGCTGCCTAAATGAAATACATAAACTGATATAATTAAGACACATTTTTATTAGCATGTGTTCTGAACAAAAAGGGTACAAGAGTATTCACCTGAGATAAAGCTAGTATTTGAATATTTCTAAGTAGCAATGAGTTTCACTTGAGGAAAGCCACCTGAAGTTTTAAAATATACATTTTACTATTATACAATATATGCAGTTTAAGTAATTAAGATTGATGCTAACATAAAATTCCTAACAAAAAAATAAATCACAGTGTGTATCAATATTGTTAGTTACAAAATTTATGCTACTTCATAACTTTTAAAAATTATAATGGTTATAAATTTTAAACCCATTCATCTAAAAGTGACCTTTTGAGTACAAGCTTTACGGAGCAATAAACTAAAGCGTAAGAATTCGCTTATTACAATTTAAATATATACATATTCACTGATTTAGAAAATAACCAAGCTTTGGAAAAACTTTACAAAATTGATTATTTTTGCTTGCACTGGCTAAAATAATGAACTATGCTAATCTTTTTCAATAAATGAAGAGAGCTGTTTCCTGAACGTGTAACGAAAAAAATTTAGTATTGAACTTCTCTTAAGACTAATTTAACAGCAATTTAGAACTGCCAAAAAGATGCATTTACAAGGATCTTAAATACACTTTCTGTTACCAACTTAGGTTGATCAGCAGCTTTTGTTCACTGTCAGAATCCTTCAAAAAGGGAAACTCAAAACAGGAAAAAGGCATATATAAAAACAGTAAACACTGACCTCCTGAGGTTCCTACAACAAAAATATTCAAGTAGAAAATCTACACCATTACTTAGCAGCGGCTATTTCTGTAGTTTAGCACACTAACAGCACTTTATTCAGTGTGTAAGGAGCAGATGAAGTAAGCCGTGCTTTTAGCATGCCAAGAGGCAGAAACACTGGAATGTAACAAAGACAAACTCACAATTCTACCAGTACAAACATTCAGTCAACATTCAAGAACTGTCAAGACTACACCACAAGAATTAAGATGATTTTTATATATCCCATGATGCAATAATTGAATTATAACTGTTAATGCTGATTCAGAACATTTCTTACCTCACATTTTACCCTAAATGGCTTCTGCAAATCTCTGCGTTACATTATGTGTTAGGAATATGGTTTATTTGCTTTAAAATATACCGTGAGAGAACTTACTGATACAAAAGACTATTTTGTCAGTACTGTTTATTTCTGCCTTTCATTATTTTCCTTGCTGTTATACCAGATCAGTTCACATCTGTACAAATATCTATTAAAATATGTATGTACTCAAGTGGCACCCTAAACTAATCTGAGGTCAGGTGGAGTGGTTTTATTTGGTTAAAGGGACTTCGTGAAATTTAAGAAGTTTAGTTATACTCAGATTCCAGCTCTATGCTACAATATTATTTGGGTAGGTTTTATATCCTACATTTTGATGTCATTTCTCTGCAACTCTTCCCTAATGTTCAAACACACTCAAAATTAAAGCAAGTTTGAGTCTAAAATAATGTCCCACCTTGCTAAATTTTAAAGGGTTTTTTTTCCTTCCAGAATTTAGTTTTAAAGTGTTTTAGTGACTACTAATTTACTTCAGAGTTGTTAGCTGAGAAGGAATTTTGCATTTGCTACCAAAGCCATGTAGTTTGAAAGCAAGTTATCACATGCAATTTTGACCATATTTAATAAATACTATGTACTAGCATTACTGAATGTACTTCATACAGTACACATCCAAACTATTCTTCAGGCATATTTCATTAAAATTTGCAAAGCCAAAAAAAAAGGGGGGGGTGGAGGGAGAGGGCAGGGTGGGGCATGTAAAACATGCACGCTGTCATGCATAAAAATCAAAACCCTTTAAACAGCATTTATAAGTTCACACTCACACACTCACTTCAGTGCAATGGCTAAATCATTCAACAGTCAAAGAATAGAACCATGCAAAGAAGAGCAATTTCTTAAAAAAAACCCCAAACAAACAAAAAAACCCCTCAGAACTGTTATCCAGTATCCATTCTGCAATGCAAAGGTGAGAAACTAAATCTATAAAAAGGCTGTTATGGCTTAATTTTGTTTTGCAGATTAAGTATGCAGCACTTGAAAAATGGAAAGGTGTGGCTTCACCTCTGACCAGCAGAGTTAATAATCTCTCCATTTTCCTTTATCATCATGGGATACTCTTTAGGCAATCTAAATTATTAAAGACTTGCCACTTTCAGATGGACACAAGATCAAGTGTACCAGTTAGGATTTCACATTCACAGTACATAAGAAAATACACATGGAAGGAAAAGTAAAGGGTTAACTTAACAAGGATTTATTCACAGGAATACACATAAGTAGAGAAAAAAAACACAACAGAAAAGCTAAACAAATGAAATGAAGAGGATCCAAACCAACTTTCACTCTGTAGCTTTAAACTTGCACCCTTGTGCATTTAACTACATCACAAAGGGCCACCAACATGCGCCGATACAGTGTAGATACCCTGCATTACATCCATTAACTTAAACATCTCCTTAAGATCATGCTTTGAACAAAAAGAAAGCATAGAAGGTAATATGTTGAGTGGGAATAAACACAAATATAGCAATCATGTCATCAACTTCTACAATTGTCTTTACGTGCCAACTAACATTTATGCAGCCTTTAACAGGTCTTACCATGTAACTCATTTTTAGAGATTCTGATAAAATCACTAGTATATAACCATGCAGAAAGCACATCACACTGACAGCACAGAGGCAAATATTTTGCACAGCTATATCAGCTTTCCACATTGTGCAGGTTACACACAATACAATATCAATCTTATTCTTAAAAGATCCTAAAAAGGTATTTCAAGGCCTAATTGTTAACTACAGTACTTTATAGCTATATTCTTAATAAAAATAAAATCCACAGAATCTTAAAAAAAGGAATTTTAAATGCAGGGCTATATTGAATTGGTAAACTGCAACACAAAACTGGCGCAACATAGGTAAATGTATACCAATTTCACTCTATGTGATGCAAGCATGCTACTTTCCCACTAATTTAAATTACTTCTGATCACTATGAGCCAGAACGCATGCCTGAACCTTAAACTGCACGTTAAGAATAATGCCTTACTCTAGAAATTAAATCTAATGAAGTACAATAATCAAATCATATCCCCTACTTTAATTCCTTTTTTAATGTAAAAATTGTCAGTCTTTCCTTTGAACTATCCCTCCCCTTACCCCAAAAATGAAAGGAGTGACTCATTTGGCAGCTTGCAGGTTGCTTCATTTCATCCAAGTTAACCTTTACTAATTTATGATGGGGTTTCTATATAGTACACTGCAAGTGCCTGCTCATAATACAGACACAAGCTGCATTTTAACTGTACTAAATTCATTTGTGTAGTTCTTCATTAACATGCAAATACCTAGGAATCCCATCAAGCAGGATGAAACAACATAGAAAACCCTTACTTAAAAAAAAAAATCAAAGAAAAAAGAAAGCCTTTTACTGTTTGTGACCCCCACTCTTAGGTTTCCTTTATTGTGCGCAAAATAGTTTTCCTCTTTACGTATCCCTATAGTTCAATTATATGGTTCTTATTTTGGTACAATTCCCCACAATATTCCAAAATGTGCTGTTTTGTGACTAGATTCTTCTTTTTTTTTCTTCTTCACATCCAGTGCAGAGTTGTAATAGGAGACAGATTTCCACCCACAAAGGCTCCAGATGTTAAAACATTTCCCAACATCGACTTAATACAGTGACGGCAACACCTCCCTCCCGCCCCTCCCAGTAGGGTTGGGATTGTACTGTATTCCCTACTGGTTTACCCTTCCCCCCAGTAAAGGGTAACATTTTCCCTGGGTGCAGAGGCTCCCTCATAGTCTCCCAGACTGAAGGACCTGTAAAAGGAAAAGGTAAAGGTATAGTTAAATCTCACCTTGAACCTTAACTGACAGATCTGTGCATAAACAAATAGCTTTTTTGCCTTTTTTAAGCAGTAGGTGCCAACCTTTAACTTAAAAATGAATTTATGCTTAGATTTTCCTTTTTAAGTCAGTTTAAGAGACAAGCCAATTCATTTCAGGTAAACTATTATTCATAACACAACAATGCACACTTCAAAACTACACTGACAGTTCCACTATCGTGGCTAAACTCTGATATAAGATAAAAAGCAGACCTATATATTCTAACAAGCTTTTCCATTTTTAGAAAATTACAAGGTAGAAGAATATTAAGCATATCTGCTACTGGCCTAACAACTTCACTTTTAGGTGGATTAAACAATATAGCCATAGTGTCTCCTCAGTTCAAACTAAGGATAACGGTGAATTTTATCGTTTGGATTCCTCTTGATTAGGAGGAAATCACACCCTTAGGTCAGAACTAATGTGACCTCATTGATAAATATGTAAATCTTTGAAATTGGTTTATTTTTAATCCGTTGTTCAGATCAAGCATGTAATTCAAACAGGATTTCTTATTTCACTGACTTAGAAAAAAAGTTAGGCTGACTTTTAAATAGTTGTCCAACAATAAAACAGAATTGCACGATTTACTGCCATAATTTCAGTGAGTGGGAAATTTGTTTTATACAGTGTGAACAGACAGCATACAAAGTAAGATGGTATAACAATATAAATATTCTAGAATGCACTATCACTGTTCTTTGGTGAAGTTGAATCATTCTCCACACAGAACTGTAACTGGTGCACAAAATGGAACATGGCAATAACAAACACATCAGCCTCCCCAAAACATCAAGCTCTGCAGTGACAGCAGAGTTACAGATTAGCATAGCATCCTTTACTGAGTGCAGATCATCTAGTATGTGGTTAGGAGTATATTGGAATTCTCACAGCTAAAATATGTTAACAAACTTGCTTTCCGATCCTGGAGGATACTCCTGCTTAGACCACACGTGCCATCTACTAATTCCTAAGACATAAGAGAGCTTGTGTCTTTAGTATGATGAGGATAACATCCATCACTGTGCTTATTAAACCTGAACTGGCACTTTTTTACACCACCTAAACTTCCAGCCTTATCTTGATACATTACCATGCATATCATACACTCACTTTTTCTGTCTTTCTGTCTCTCTCTGTAAAAATAAGAACAGCAGAGTCATGCAACTCCTTTTGCTACAGCTACCATCATTCAGGTCCACAATCATCCCTTTTTTTTTTTTCCTTCTTATAGGAAGGAAAGATATCTCAATCCAGTGTATCTGAAAAATTCTAGTCTGATGAATTAGTTGTTTCATATAATGCAAACAGGGAGGAAGTCTGTCATACAGCTCTGTTTAGCAAGGAAGATTTGTGTGCTTACCTCTAATTATGGGACTGCAGCTACAGTGCATGAGGTTAGACTCCATAGTAAGCTGCAAGGCGCTCTTTTAAGGGAAGAGGAAACTGGTCAGAGAAACGCCTCCAATTCTCATCCCCAACTTGATTTTTAAATCCATGAAGAATCTACAAACAAGAGGGGGAAGTCAAGATAATCACTACATACATGACCATTATTACTAGCAAGATATGCAGTAAGCCACAAACTGCTTGATTGTACCTCTGTCCATTTAAATTCTCCAACACTGAAATACTACTAAGAAAGAAAGGAAGTCTAGTAACGTCTTTCTTTACTAAAATGCTTTTTCTTTGAAGAGTGACATAAAGAATACAGCTACTCATACAAATTAGTGTGTGCATACGTATCTATATGTGTTTTTAATGAGTAAGGTGACTTACAACCTTGAGTTAGGCCATTTCAGAATGCTAAACATTTGATCAATTGACACAGTTTATATAGTGTTAAGATTAATGTATTCGTATTCCCTTTCTAGATGTCTAGGATGTTGTGGGAAGATGGCTGAGCCAAAACTGCAGCCAGCATTTGACAGAATGAATGCCTGCCAATTTCTAGCACAAATGCAAAAGCATCCTGTGAGAGCTCTGTTTTTTCCATGGAACCTGTAAGACATCTGTCACTATAAAGGAAGCTGTTAAAATCTTTTGTATTTTGAAAGAACAGAGATCCAGAGCCAGCCGCAGTCAAAAGTCAGCAAAAGAGGGGAAAAAAAACCGTACAGGTTTCAGTCTGGACCTTCCAATGTAATAACTGAAAACTATGAAAATTAAACGACACTATCAAAAAGGTCTTAGTATGTTAGTTCTGAAACCAGCACGTTAAAACAGAAATATTAGAAAGAACAAAAGCAGACAAAATGGCTCCTCATCATAGAACATAATGCTAACAGAGCCTGAAGTTTTAGTTTTCTTTTTTAAACTCAAGGGTACTGAATTGTGGAATAGCCTGTCATGAACACACCCTCACAGAAAAGGCAACGTTAAAGTTAAAGCTCATGGTACCGAGTTTACCCTCAACACAACATTCTCAAGCAGAGCTGTTCTTAAACAGAATGTAGCAGTAATGACATTACAGTGTCACCAGTTCACTAACTGCTTTTCTCCCTGAAACAGACCTTCCACAAGAAGGGCCACCTCTCCTTCCTAACCCGAAGAGTCAGATTAGCCTGCTGCCAAGAAGCTACTGAAAATCTAAGACTGTTCAGGTATGACAAAAAGAACACTTTTCAAATCATCTTCCAGTAGAGTTTTAGCAAGTGAGCTTCAGCTACAGTTTTCAGATACCTTGCTTTTATAAAAAGTGATAAAATTCTGAAGACATGTGTCAGATTTCAACACTGGCAGCTCATCTAACCTCTGAGCTCTAATGCTAAAAACCAAACCAAAAGAAAAAAAGAAACATTGGAGAAAATCCAGTTTTTTCCATTGTTCCTGAAAGGCATAATTATTGTTGGAAAAAATATCTAACTGGACTACAGCAATCATGTATTCATGAGGAAGTAATTGAAAAAATATGCACACTGTCACTTGAAGAAAGCTTGGTCTCCTTTCTAGCGTGGCAAAAAGCACAAAAGAAGACACTTTAAAAAGCAAGGATATCCTTATGCCAAGTGACCAAGAACCATTGTATCTAGTTTGAATGCATTAGATCCCACATGGATAACTTGGAAAGAATCCGAAAAAGAGGAGCCTAACTTACTGAGGGAACTATTCGTTGCTGAAGGAGCAGTGCAGAAAAACGCTGAGAGCAGTTTGGACAGTCATCAAAGACAGCATCCTGCACCTCCTTTTAAGCTTGCAAGTATTTGCTGTTCTCTTCTGCTCGTGCTAGAATACTCACAGCTGCGCACTTCCTGGACCTATGTTCCTTCGAAGCGGACCAGTTATCTGAGAGGCTAACTAGGGCAGTGAGGTTTCTGGCTTTGCTCTTGAAGACGGGACACAACAGTTCCCAGAGCCAGCCGCAGTCAAAAGTCAGCAAAAGAGGGGAAAAAAAACCGTACAGGTTTCAGTCTGGACCTTCCAATGTAATAACTGAAAACTATGAAAATTAAACGACACTATCAAAAAGGTCTTAGTATGTTAGTTCTGAAACCAGCACGTTAAAACAGAAATATTAGAAAGAACAAAAGCAGACAAAATGGCTCCTCATCATAGAACATAATGCTAACAGAGCCTGAAGTTTTAGTTTTCTTTTTTAAACTCAAGGGTACTGAATTGTGGAATAGCCTGTCATGAACACACCCTCACAGAAAAGGCAACGTTAAAGTTAAAGCTCATGGTACCGAGTTTACCCTCAACACAACATTCTCAAGCAGAGCTGTTCTTAAACAGAATGTAGCAGTAATGACATTACAGTGTCACCAGTTCACTAACTGCTTTTCTCCCTGAAACAGACCTTCCACAAGAAGGGCCACCTCTCCTTCCTAACCCGAAGAGTCAGATTAGCCTGCTGCCAAGAAGCTACTGAAAATCTAAGACTGTTCAGGTATGACAAAAAGAACACTTTTCAAATCATCTTCCAGTAGAGTTTTAGCAAGTGAGCTTCAGCTACAGTTTTCAGATACCTTGCTTTTATAAAAAGTGATAAAATTCTGAAGACATGTGTCAGATTTCAACACTGGCAGCTCATCTAACCTCTGAGCTCTAATGCTAAAAACCAAACCAAAAGAAAAAAAGAAACATTGGAGAAAATCCAGTTTTTTCCATTGTTCCTGAAAGGCATAATTATTGTTGGAAAAAATATCTAACTGGACTACAGCAATCATGTATTCATGAGGAAGTAATTGAAAAAATATGCACACTGTCACTTGAAGAAAGCTTGGTCTCCTTTCTAGCGTGGCAAAAAGCACAAAAGAAGACACTTTAAAAAGCAAGGATATCCTTATGCCAAGTGACCAAGAACCATTGTATCTAGTTTGAATGCATTAGATCCCACATGGATAACTTGGAAAGAATCCGAAAAAGAGGAGCCTAACTTACTGAGGGAACTATTCGTTGCTGAAGGAGCAGTGCAGAAAAACGCTGAGAGCAGTTTGGACAGTCATCAAAGACAGCATCCTGCACCTCCTTTTAAGCTTGCAAGTATTTGCTGTTCTCTTCTGCTCGTGCTAGAATACTCACAGCTGCGCACTTCCTGGACCTATGTTCCTTCGAAGCGGACCAGTTATCTGAGAGGCTAACTAGGGCAGTGAGGTTTCTGGCTTTGCTCTTGAAGACGGGACACAACAGTTCTAGCTTCTGTTCTGCTGCTCACACATGGCATTACTCGAAGAACTACTAATACTGACCCATGATCCTAGTAAGTACTTAGGAATATGCTCCATTTTTGCTTTAAGGGGATTATCATGAACTTCGGACGTACGTTCTTCCTAAAACCAAAGATTTCACTTTACAGCTTATGAAGGGAACCACAGTACTGAAAGGTAACAGCATCTGTTCAGGAAACTGAAGTAAGTTTCGTTTTTTTTTTTTGTTTTGTTTTATTTTTTGGTTTTTTTTTTTAAACTTAAGACACTAGTGCCAAAACACATTATATCACATTCTGGGTGAGGTTTTTTTTCTGATTTTACACAAGGCAAACAGTCCTTTCACCTAAATTCCATTGATGCTTTGTCTAGGGATGTGTTCTTGGGTATAACCGTACGTTTGTTTCTTGAAACTTTCTCATCCAAGAGGGATTCTGAGGACAAATAAGCAATCCCGAAAATTTATTTATGGCAGGAGCAAGTGAAACAGATCAGTATACCATGCAATATTTTTCATTTGCAATTTTCTAGCTATTTCTCCAAAATAAAGTAGGCATCTTCACGGCAAAAAAGTCTTGAACCATACAAATCTCATTTTCTAGAAAAAAAGTCTTAAATGTGGTATAAAACCCCTGTTCTTCCAAATGCAGGCAAAACATAGTAGGTTGTACATTATGAAAAGCTCTTTGAGGATGATTATCCTTTTGAATAATATCTCAAGTGGACTTTTCAATACCATTGAAAAAGGTTTGGAATAACGAAAATGCATACAAGAAAACACAGGTTAAAAAAAAAAGTCGGGAATTTTATGTTGTTTTGTAGGAAAATTTATGACCTTGCAAAGAAGCCTACATGACCACAAACACAGTAAGTGCCAACAGTGGAAATAGAAAGTAAGAAAAGAACAGAGGATCCAAAACAAGCACTGTTAGAATATATTAGAAACATTACCTTACAGAACATGTCTCGGAGATCATCTTTTGGGCTAATCCACGACGCAACAGCATCACAAAAAAAAATAAAGTCCTACAAGATTAAACATCACATAAGTTAGAAACCTCAATTCATAGGTCTGAAAACAACGATTGATGTTCATTCTATGAACTATGCAGGGTCTTTGATCCTAATTCACAACTGCTTTTGTTTTTATGTATTTATTTTCCAGTTAATTCATACAATAACAGTAAGTTATTGTATGCCTAAGTGTTCAGAAATAGAAATAGCTGAGTGCAGGAATAACTTTAACTAGTTTTTTAATTAAATAAAATTAAAATTTTAAAAAAGCACCCTCTCCCCTCCCACACCACACTTATCTAACGTTAAATCTTTCAGTACACATACTAAGTTCAAGAACCAATCGCTTAAATAACAAGCAATAAACTCGAGACCACAGTCACAACACACTCTCTCTCATGCATTTCCATTTTCCCCTCATGCATGGGAAACAAGCTGTTGTATTTCTTTAAGCAGAGTTAGAAGTTTTTTCTGGGACACACAGAATGTTTATCATACAGGTTCAGAACTGAAGCCACCCCAAAACCCCTACACTTCGTTCATCTGCTGTCATGCATTACCTCCTACTACACCATTAAAACACCAGTATTTAGTCATTAAGTTGATAATGCACATGTTTTAGGGTAGGAACTGAGGATAACAACTACAGAGAAGGGGAGATGGGATAATGAAATCAGTGATTATTCCCTCTGCTTAAGCTATGTGAAAGAGCAAATAGAAAGCAGAAGAGGGAAATGCTAAGTACAGAATAAGGCATAAGTGAAATGAACGGAAAATCTCAAAACAAGGTAGAGGCTCAATTCTTGTGTTTCAGTAAGAAGAGTTCCAGCCAGAAGAGAAAGAAAATCACCTTCATTTTCCTCTTAGGAAATATTATGTTGGTACCGCTTTACTTTGAAGGTGTGGAGACTAAAGAGCAAGTCATTCTATTCTTCAGATGTTTCTTTTATTTTAAAGAGATGCATGTTCCATGTCACATTGACTATTTAAGCAATATATGCAAAGTTGAAACAGAATCTTCCCCATCCAAGTTTAAGAACGAAGGGATGGTTAATGTTTTTGTAATTTCACATGAGAAAGAAAAGAAAAGAAGTTAAAGAAAAGAAGTTAAGATCTGTTCACGCATCTTACTTGGACTACTCCACTGGGGTTGACTGAGATCATGGTACATATCCCACGGAATGCTGAATCCTTCTCCTCATTGTCTCTTATGTTTCGCAGAGAGGTGCACCTAGCAAGTTGGAGAGCAGAACTTAGCTAACTCTATTACTTTTTCCTCAATCAAATCAGAACTAGATGGCAGTATTTGATGGAATAAGTCACACTGCTAAGATGATCCAAAACACTATTTTCAACACTTTGAAAAACACTTTTTGCACACAGTCTTTACTAGCATATTCCCATTAGGCATCATCTCCAGAATCTTGTTTTCTTGCTGCACTATATACAGTTAGAAAGTGTGACTTGTATTCCATTAAATACAAAAAGAAACATGTATCTGAAATATTTATAGAAACTATCATTATTAGAAGCGGAACATGTAATACTATCACAGTATGAATTATGTCAGATACCACTTACAGAACAGTTATTTAACTTTTACAGCAGCAAGCAAGCTATTTTATACATAACAAATCTATAAACATATTCCTTACAGCAATTCAAGCCTTAGACTGAATTTTAAGTAAAGTAATGCACGGTTTAAATTATACAGTATTTGCATGCATTGTATTATCATTCTGGTGGATTTTAAAATGCTCTTTCATAGTCAAGCTTTAACACAGCAAGCATGTGACAATCTTATCCCATGCATAAATTAGTCGTTAGCCACAACATAAAGAATACATGACGGTGCTACTAAAAACTCACAAACCTGATAGGACAAGATTAGTCACATGGTTGGCAATGATTAAGGATTGAGATTTTGTAACCAACTGAAAATATATCTAAAAGTGAGATAGAGAGAAGAAAGAAAGAAAGAGAGTGAAGAAAAATGAATTAAAAAAAAAAGATTGAATAATACACACCAGGGTCTTATAAACTGCTGTAGCATGGGGGCCACCTCTTGAGGACAAACGTAACCAAGACGACCAATTGTTATTGCTAAGGTAACGCAATCACGGTTATACACCACCAAACGCCAACCAAGACATGAGCAAATGAAGGGGGAGGAGAAAAAATAAAGAAAAAACAACAAATAACTCAGAAACAGAAACCAACAGAATCTGTGTATGATAATAAACATAAGATTTCACCAGTGCTGTTTATTACCACCCCCTAAATAAGAGGCAGCAACGTACATGGCATACTATCCAGGGTAAAAGAAAAATTAAAGAAGTAAATGAGAGAACACCAAAAACACAATTTAAAATCCAAAGGCTTTCTGATGTAAGCAGTCTTTCTGCCTTCTTCAGAGTAATGTCTTACAGCAAATTTACCTACCATACATTTTGAAGTTTTTATTCCAATGTATTGTTATGGATAGTCTTGATAAAAAGGAATTAATTATTTTCAGTTTTAGTAAAAATTATTATAAACATTTTATTTTTTTCAATATTTAGAATTAAAGATTTTTATAGACCTACTCTATCAGCAAAAAAATATTTATAAATACTTTTACATAGAAAATATTGTGGTCTCTTTAAAAATGCTAAATAGATGAAACTTCTCAAAGAGCACCACATATTTGTTTTCTTCATAATCCCATAGAGATTTTAATTTAAAGTGACTGCAGATTAATTCTTTAATCCCAATATTTCTCCTGTTCACAAAAGGCTTCCTCATAGAAGTCATATAAGAATGTGACTTCTGATAGCAAGGCATAAGGACACATGAAAAGCAAAATAGCTGAATTAGATGATTAGGTAGTTTGCTCCTTTGTTCCAAGGGACAGACTGAAGAAAATATCATCACACAAATGTGTTTTAATGGTGTTTGCTCAACTCACAAAAGATTAATCTTTAGAAAAAGGAGAGGGTGGGGAAAAATGTATCAGGATTACTTGAAGCAAAATACATGAATAATACTAAAATCCAGCAGATTCATATGAAGCAGAGAAAGGAAACCTATGTTCAAGGGACATACTATGCAACACTCTAATTAACAGGCATTTGTGAACAGTTTCATGAAACATGCAATAAAGCAGATGATGCTTTCTCCAGTAGAAGTTTGGTGTAGGATATACTAAGAGTTTGAAATGTACTCATTCCATAAAAGCTGCAGCTCACTGGTAATGTACTGTTTTGCCCTGATGTAACTCCATTTCAATACACAGTGTCTATAATTTTCGGCAGATCTAACTTATAAAACTGCATTTGAAGTCCTACTTTCAAATGAAAGTACACTTTTATCTGTAAATTCTCACAGCTACAGTCTGTACAAGGAATAGTAATCTCTGCCAAAGCTCAACTTTTTGGCACGTACTAGTTATTTTCTGTGCAATTACATTTACTTAAGGTGGTCTCATGTTTCCATAGGAGAATTGGTTTCATAACTCATTACATAGCAAGTTAAAGCAGAAAACAGTAATATTCTTGCACATACTAGTGGCATGCAGCACAATATCCCACAACAAACTTATAAGTACACCACACTCAACATTTATTTGCAGTTAAGCATCCACATTTAAGTAACTATCAGGAGAATTTAAAAAAAACCAGTCAGTGTTTGGATGCTTCCAAAAATTCTCTAACAATGATGGAAGCAAACATTTATGTACTGGATGCCTCTCAGTTACAGGTATTACACATTCATCAGCGCAGAGCAAGGGGTCAGGGCAGGGGCGAGGGGAAAGAAAATTTATATTGCTATACTATTCCATGGTATATTTCACAACAAGTAGGTATTTGCTCCAAAATTATCTTTTAAAGAAGTAGCACCTATGTATGCCAGACAACTAAGTAATTCCTCCTTCAAGTTCACCTTCCATACTAAACAGAGGGATGGGGGCAGAGAAAGTGCTGATTTTAAGTTTAGAGAACACTGGAGGAAAAACATGCATTGAAAAATCTCTCTCCAATTTATTTCTTGCTTAGCTCAAAAAATGTAACTGTAGCACTGAATTTGCATATTTTTCAATCATGTCAGGTATAATGACTAAACCATAATTTTCTTACAAGACGGTTTTGAAAGAGAAAAAAAAAATTCTTAATTCGTAAAACAGTAAACCAGAAATGTGTCAAAATATTCATAAAGTTTTGCTGAAGTATGGAAGGTGCTCTTCATACCAGAACGTGCCCTCTATAAATGCAAAAGAAACAAGCCTCAGAAATTCTGATTCAGTAAGGCATTTGAGGGTGCTCCCAATTTGGAAGGCAAAGCTGTGAGCCAGAACATAAAACACGCATGCCATTATTAGAATTATTTTCAGAAATTTGTTATTGACTGACCAAGTAACAGAAGTTATACATTATTTCAGTTATGTTGTGGTAAAACTGTCATCACAGATCTAGATTTTTGTGCATGATATTACAAGTTTATCTTAAAAAAAAAAAAAAGAAAAAGTGCATTTTTTGTAAATTCAGAGGTCATTATTTGTTTTATATATGCCAATTACATTTGTTTCAAACACTAGACATATATATACAGTACACACGTGTAATGTAAGGACATGCATACATTAAAATCAGTGTGAACTAAGTCTTCAAGTGTTACTGCATACATTTGTCATATTCAACACAAAACTGGAAGAATACTTAATTAAACAGGTGATAAATAAATATAATACGTTATAAAAGTGAGAAAGCAATAACTTCAAGAATCTAGATATATGATAGATGGTTTGCTAAAAGACTGAGACTTGTAAGAGCTTCTGCAAAACAGAGTTGCTTTTGCTTATAAAAGCCAAATACACAGCAATAAAATCAGTTCTGGTGTCGTTCCCCTATGCAAATTTTTAAATCATGATAATAAAATCTTAATTCCCTTCACCATGTATGGTTCAGTTTTTGGGTACCTGTGTTCTCTAACAACGTCTTTGGTGTGTTGGGTCTGTTAATTATTTCTACAAGCTGGTGCAACACCATTGGAATATAAGGCTGCATCTCTATACCTGAAATGGCCAAAAAATAAAGATTCAGAAGAAAATGACCATTAAATACATAATCTAAATAGATCTGGTACATTGAACTTACTGATAAGGACAAGCAACTCAAATTTAATTTAAATTTTAAGATGAAAGTATCACTAGAAACCCCCCCCAAAAACATCCAAACCATGCTAAATGTGCAGAAATTCAAAGAAAAAAAAAATCTTACCCATCTGGATGGAGATTTCTCCAATTGCCCATGTGGCATTGTTACAGACAGAAATGAATTCAGGGTTTAGGTTGGTTCCCAAAATGGGCATGAAATCCGCTAGAAAGAACAACATTTTAAAATCTCATCACACAATACATACATCTTGTCCCATTACGGTAATGGGATCAGGGGGAAGGAGGAGGGGGAAGTTTTAAAAAGAAATCATGTAAACCTATCTAAATGCTTGGAAAGTGTTACACGTGAATTAACAAGAGCTATATTTCTGCTACATATCAGCTTAACCTGGATTTTAGAACCTAAGCAGATCAACGCAAATCTTTCAAAAATTATGATTTTAAAACGTTTCTAATAGCCTTTATCTTTATGTAACTCTAGAAACCTTTTTTCTCCCCTCCCCTTGCTGGGGCTGAGGGAGAGAGGGGAAGCAGGAAGAAATAAAAAACCCAGCTACAAGTACTTTCACTTTTATAACACAGACGAACAACCCTTAAATCACCTAGATAGCTATGTGTTCAGCTATGCTTGAAAAAACAATGAAGCCTAGAAGGCAATCATGCCCTTGATTAAATTTTAAGAAAAAATTAGTCAAAGATAGACTTTAACATCTGCCAAATAAATTTTAAATTCCAATCCTATCCAAGCATTCATTTGGCAAGTTAAATGTATCTCAAGGGTATATGAATGAAAAGACAGCAAATATCATGGAAGTGTATAACTGATGCTACTTCCCTACCCAAAGTGAAAACAAAGCAAAAAAACAAACTAAAACCTACCCTCTAGCCAAGTTTTCTGATTTTTATATATATATATATATGTTTGTGTATATTTATAATTCTACATAACAATAGATTCTAGTAGAACATAAGCTATCAATTCAAGAATTTATCAAAACAAGCATCTATTCTAATCAATATCTAAGTACACCTGTTTTGCTGTATTCCAGCACAACAGGTAGCTTGTTACATTATAAAAATCAAGGACAAAAATGAACTTTTTCACTGTCTACAAAAATAAGAACACATCTTTTAAAGACACAATTCCAAGGAAAAAAGACTACAGACCCTTGCTGATAAAGCAAAATGAAAATTTACAATGCCACGAAATGGCAACCCACAGAATAGGGAGCTTAACAGTGGTTAAACCAGCCTCTTATCAGTTTGTAAAACAATTGTTTAATATGTAAAAGAAACATACCGATGCAAGGCTTAACATGCTGAAAACACGCCTTTGTCAGATCACCTAACAATGCAAAAGAACTCTGCCGTACCTCAGGCATTTTATCCTAAAGAAAGGAAGAAAAAAAAGACAATTCTAGAAGTGCTTCTGATTCTCTTAAGAAAGAAAATACTTGGATCAAACAGGTTACTCATCTCACCTGCATGCATTGGTACATTAGTGTCAGGATATTGCTGCGAGCCACTAGCTGTTCAATGTTGCCTCCAAGTCCTTCAGCTAAACCACTGAGTAAATCAAGCGCCACAATCATGAAATCTTTATCTGGAGCCTCATATTGGTCTGGCTGAGCATTATGCAACTGCAACAAACAAGTACACATTTTCAAAACAAGTATTTTCTCAGGGGTATGCGTTAAAAAAAGTTTCAGAACTGCAGCTTTATTTAGATATTCAATGATTATATTACAAATCCTGCAAACCCATAGCTTTACATAGTTAATATCTTGCTTTAAGAAGACATTCTGAAAACATTGGAATAGCAATAGAAAAATACCATGGCTTGTGCAAGGGTCTTCTGCACCAGATTTACACAGCGCTGGTACACAGGTTCACAGTATGGAAGAAAGCCAGATTGCAAAGCAGTAGCAACTGACGACAGGCACTGGAATTAAAAAAAAAAAAAAGAGAAAACAGTCACTACCTTTCTTCACATTCTGAAGTGCCTTTTACTTTGGAGAGGTAAATTAAAAGATATTAGCATTTTAAGTACACCTGCATGAAACTTATTAAGTAAACATAACCTAGAAAGGCAGTACTGATTAGCTGAGCCAAGGCAACTATGAGCAAGTTTTTACTCTCTCCTACGTATGCCAGTTGAGAAAATTTCTCAGCAGCAGCATCTTCTTAGAGGTAGCCAAAAAAATGCATACAAACCCAGTTATAATAATTCAGCCAGAACTTACACTAAGCTTCAGTATCTTGACCATGTACAAGCCCTAACATTACCTAAGAGTTATGAAACTAATTTTTCTGTAGGTGGTTTTCCTGCTTCATACTCGGAAAGTAAAGAGAATAGACTACATGGTCTGGTTCATACCTTCAGCTTGTGTGACAATAGTTTTAATGGAGGGATAAAGGGACAGCAAAGAGAGAGAACACAAGAATAAAAGGGGGATGGAACATTTCTTTTTTTTTTCTACAAGAATCCCATCAAAGAAAACACTCCAGAATGGCCAAAAAAAACCAAACCACGACCCTCTGCAAAACATACTGACATTTTCTCAAAGTTTTCTTACTACCGTCATAACTTTTTCTCCACAATGGGAAATACCTAACACTGTCAGTTTTTATAGCCGCATTTCCTAGCAGGAGCATCTTTAGTAGAAAGTACAATTGCTAAAATAAGTTGATTAAAAATTTTCTAATTTTAACATTTACCTCTAATAAAGGGAAGAGATCTTTATCTTCATCCTTCAACATATTCCACTTCTGGATTAATGGAGGCATTAGCATCTGAATATATTCCTGTTTAGGATGAAAATGCATCAGCTGCTGAAACACTTCACCACATGCTATTTTATTTCAAAGCTAGAAAGTGGACGTATTGATATATATTCTAATTTTTCAGCAAAATGTCCCCTGACGTACCATAATTCAATCATTGTTGCAATATTTAGAAGTAGTTTAATTTTAGAATTTACAATTTGTGTCTTAAGATTTTTTGCTGAAGCATGTAAGTACCTTTGCAGAGTGAATCTTTTGCTCCAGGTTTGGTTTCAGTCTAGCAACTTTCAATAGCTGCCTGGGTTGTTAGAGATCTATATGACTGCCTCAGGGCCTATGGAAAATGTTTTTACTAGCAATACAATCTGGCTGTGCACCTGCCACGTGCTCTTCTCAACCATTTTCCATTGCCCTAATGCTGCAACCCCATTCCCCACAAGTTCCTGAAACTTCTGTCTCAAGCAACTAATCATCCACTAAGAAAGTAATTTTCTGTCCCTCCAGAGGGACACATTTACCCATTCTGTATAAAGCTGTTGCATTTTCCCTGCCACTGCACAACCACGTCATAAGGACACTGAGCAAGAAACCCCTACAGTGCTGTTTCTCCCAAAAGGTATCTAAAGAGCCAACACATGCTGCCAGCTAATGCTACGTCCAAAGACACAAAATTTTAAGTGACTGAAGAAAGCCCCACTATCACCAGGAGCTCCTATTTAGTTTCCTCCCAGTGCTGTCAAATGTTGAGGCAGCCAGGGCCAGAGAGAAACTGAGAAAGATGTCCTTTGATGGTATGGGGTCTCCGATGGCAAGCAAAATGCCATGGACACAACTCAAATTGTTTTATTCTAGTGTGTCTATGTCACGGGAAGCACTATAGAGAAATAAGACAAATTTCAATAACCATCATAAGATGTACATGACATGGATGCATATTCTATTAATTAATATACATACACCAAAAAAACCCCAACTACATTTGCCTGTGTGTTATCTCTGCTTTGTCCAAAGGATTCTGTAGTTTTATATACAAAAAGAATGGATGTTTCACTCCCTGATAAAACAATTTCTAGTGAAATGCTCCAATACATTGGAAAGAGACACAGAGAGCACCTTAGCTATACTGAAAGTGGTTACGAAAAAAGTGTGGTCATTAGAAATTAAAACACACCTTCCACCAATGTCTCTGAAGTCCCATTTCATATCTCTATTGATATATGTATCTCCTCTAAGCTGAAAAATTCTGAACACGAGATGAGAAGCACATTTCAGAAGCCAACACATACACAAACATTTATTCAAAATGGCAAATATTTGTGCAGTGGGCAAATTACACGCTGTCTATGTATTTTACCTGTAAATAATTAGTATTATCAAAACCTACACAGAAATATCAGCATTCCTGGTAAAGCACACTACAAAAAACACTGAACCAGTTTTTCAATTATGATGAGTGCTTCTATAGAACATAAGATATACTCACTGGTTTATTTAGATGATGTCCCACAGAATCTGCCAGAGTTCCTATAGCATCATAAAGAATGAGCAGGTTTTTATGCTGGTATTTACTAAATGCAAAGACCAAAGTGTCAAGTATATATGCAAGATAAGGAACAAGCTCTGTACAAGCCTCCTCTTCCAGAGTAGCAAAGGCACTGAGGGACAAAAAAACAGGTCAGTTAGTATCTTGGGAAAAACACCACAAGACAACCCCAAAAGAAATGCCTCACACTAAACATGTCTGTTTAAACATAAAACTGTATATAGTCCTCGAATTCATCCAAGATATGTTTTCAAAATGGTATTACTGAGTTAACCTCAGTCTATTTTGATTGAACACATAAGGATTCATTCTTACATTGTGATGAACAAAATTAAAAAAATATTGCCGTAAAACCCATTACATATGTGCAGGAAGCCCCCACTGAGAAAAGCATTATTTTATACAAGTTACAACACACTAACTGAGATAGTAGGAACCATAACAAAAGCTGTTTACTTAAGTTAAAACCAGCTCACTATCTTTAATGTATGCTGTAGCTGCATTTAGAAGCCCTAGTGCTGTTATGCCAGTACAATGCCAGCATGAGCCTGTACTCTCAGCAGTTCACCACACAGAAGAACAGGTACAGAAAGGCATGGAAAATTAAAAGCAAAGACAGGGGATGAACAATTTTAGCCAGCCTTGGTAAAAGCACATATCATGGCATCATGGAAGCTCTTCGTGTTGTCTGTCAAGTGTTTGAACAGCAGCACTGAAAAAACCCATCCAAAAAGCCGCCACTCCTCTCCCCCCCTCCCTGGACATGCTACTTCAAAGAAACATTAAGGAAAGGAAGGAAAGGAAAGAATTACGAGCTATTGAATATTTACTGGCCTAGCTTGTGTCAACAAGATTACTATTAGCCTGTCCCTGCACTAAAAATGCATTTGTCGCTGCATGAGGTGAACAATACCCTACTAGCATGCTACCAAATACAGAAATGCCTTTTTCTTAACACAATGCAACTGTGAACACCAAGTGGATAGCAGTCTTTTGTTTATTATTTTATTTTATTATTGTTATCAAGTATTCTTTCAGAAAGACCTAAGATGTGAGCAGAAAAAGACATTTCAGTAAAATACCTTTTTGGGTGTCACCAACTAAAGAAGTAGCTTCTCAATAGTACAGAAAAGTTACACATCCGCGATGACAGAGAAGTCAGTGATGAAAACATACAGTATCCTATGAACAATTTTCAATTTGGTAGACATTAACGCACTGTAAGGATGCAGCTTTTTGCTCCTCTCTAAGAAGGATCATTGTATGTCCTTGCAATTTAGAAAGCCAGTAAGTGTTTTTGACTTGTAATAGCTCCACATTTTCCTTAAAGTGGAGTTTACCAGACAGTTTATTTTTTAGCCGCAACAGTAATTTTAATGAATCTCTGCTCTACAGAAAGCATTTCCAAACATGGTACAAATCTGATATTGAACTTCAAATGAAACAAAAAATCCCAGGTATATTGCTATTTTTAATATTCCCATTTTATCTCTTTCATATTTAAGAGTTTCCACTGCCCATTGTACTTCCTTCATAAGCACTAAATGAGGGTATTTAACAACTGCAACACAGTTGTGTTCAACTACATGAACACTTCAGCCATGTTTTGGACAAGGAAAGTATGAACAGAATTGTGGGGGTTTTGTCTGTCATTCTTTTTTAAAATTGTATTTTGTTTTTAAATAGAATCTGTACATAATCTGATTCCTTGGCTCTGAAAATACATGAAGCAAGCAGTCTCCTATCACCAGAAGACTGCCACTATGAAAAGACAGAATGGAGCAGATGTCAAAGCCCAACAAACTTGCTGGCTGAACGTTTCAAAAGGTTTAGGCACAAAAAGGAAACAGTGCTTAATACTCAAATCTTACTAAGTTTCATTAAATTCATTGTATCTGTTCTCAGGCAAGGATATATGTACCCCTTTCGTGAAAAGCTTAGCACAAGAACTTTGACTCCAGCCTTGTCTTTTGGCACTACTGGTATTCAAGGATGCGGTGTAATAATATTACATTTTTGTGTTTCCAGTATCAAGCATACAATCAGATGCAGCTCTAAGTCTACTTTCTGAACAAACCTTCTTGGCAGTCCACTGTGTGCAATCCTGCCCCACACAAACTGACACATAAAAGCTTTATTTGATGAACTTTCTGTAAAAGAGGTGCACCCATTCCTATTCCATTAATGCTGTGTCCATTAATGCAACCATTAAATTTTTTTTTTTTGTTTAGTATCAGCAGACAAGGGGGAGAAGGTAATCTTATCTCCCAGGATCTCCCTTCAAGAGAGAGAATCTCCCTTGAAATAATCATAACCCAAATGTTTTGGCAATCCTGAGCTAAATATAAACACCATCAGTAATCCAACTATAGGATAATTTTCCACTGCAATCAGGCACATTAAAAAGCGCAAGATTTCTGGTCAATGAAACAACATATGTATTAAAAATAAACAAGTGTCACAGTTTCTTTTACTACGATAAGTTACTTAGTTTGGTGCTTCATATACCCTGAAAACAAACCGGAGAAGAGAAATACAAATTAACTTCTTTCATACAATTAGAATTTGGAGTAATTTGTGACTGGAAGAAGCTGCATCTACTCCAAAAGAGAAAGAAACACATTAAGAGCTAGAAACGTGAGTGACACGTTCATTGATAAAGGCACTAAAACAGTTTCCCATGAAAAAGCAGTGTCGCGGATAGTGGTTTTTGCTTAAGCTTTGGCTTACCTGCAGGCAGCTTCTTGTACTCTCTTGTTGCTATCCAGGATACGCTTTAGCAACTCAGTCATTAATGGCTTCAAGTATGTGTCTGGGGGTTGACTAACTACCCAGTGTGCATAGCGACTAAGAGTCCAGCATGTAATGGAGCGCACAAGAGCCTTTTTGTCAGAGAGGCACTGAATAAGGTGAGGGATCAGCTCAGGAAGATATGGAATCATACCCTGCATGCAGCCTAGGAGGAAAAGTATAGCTATTGCAGTACCAGAATTAACAAAAAGTTCTTTTGTTTCCTGTTTCCTAGAAGGGACATATTTTCATTCTCTATCACATAGGAATAAATCTTAACAATACACAAAGCAAGCCTACCTAATTTATATTAAGTCCTAGAAAGAAACTTTACATTAATAATTAAAAACCGCGATTACACTTACATTCGTTTGAACTACATTTCTACTTCAGTGCTTCCCCAATCTCCAGAAACTCTGCTTTATTAAATGGAGTATGGCAAGTACATGCAAATGAAATGAGTTTACAAAGTTTAGAGGTCCTACGTCAGTCTACTCAGAGTAATCAAGACAACAAGTGTAGACTCAGTCTTGACAACACATCATCACATCATTAAAAAGGATTCCTTCAGAAATTTAGATTTCTTCTTGTTTTCTCCTAATATCATAGAAATACTGACCAGCAATAAAAGCTACACGTTTCAAGCCACTAAGGGCAGTAATACACTGAGATTTGCCAGAAGCACTAACTATTCCCTTGCTTGACTTGAAATCAAAACCAACAAAAAAATTTTCTAGTAACAAAGAAAAAAGTATGTTCACTATGCACTGTTGGAGAAAAAGGATAATCCAGGCATGGACCAAAATGTGTTCCTTCAGCTTGCAAAAGTGACAGAGATGCCAGAAATGAAGGCAAAAACGCAAGCCTGTGAGTAAGTACAAAGGAATGGAAGTTATCATATTTAAGTTGGACAACTATCCACAAAAAGCAGCTCAGGGCACTGAAGTCACACAAGTGGTCTTCTCCGTTTCTGAAAACGAAATGTAAGGCTCAAATTTATTAAACATCCCTCTTCTATGAAATGATTGTAGTATGTCATGAAAGACAAACAAATATACACTGCAGTTAAGAAAGGGAGAAATAAAAGAAATTTAGCCTCCCAAACATGCATAGATTTGAAAACGAAAAATTAAGTAACTGCAGTCACCAATTAGCAGATGTAGAGCTTAATGACCAAAGCCAAATCAGCTAAGGACATGTAGTTGTTTGCATAATTAAATTCACCTGGAAGGAATCACAGAGCTGCTTTAGAACCAATATAAAATTCTTATCTGAACTGTTGCCTTACCTTCAGCAATTGCTCCAAGAACAAGGATACCAGATTCTTTAACTACCCATTCTGGATGGAAGAGCAATTCCTTCAAAAGGGGCAAGATGTGTGGCAAAAGTTCATCACGAAATACATTGGCTAGGACATCCAGAGCAGCAGCAGAACATTTCCCTGAAGGGAATTAACAGTGTTAATCTCTGATTATTATACAAGTAGCTGTAGTTAGGCAATATAATCCTCACTTTAAGTTTGAGCTGCCAGTGGAGTCTCAGGGCATTAGGAGGAAAGATACTTCCGTTTCATTAAAACACAGTGATCCACTGTGCTCTGGTGTAAAGCCACGGCTCTTAGAAAGCCAGTTTTGCAGCACTTAAACAGCCACTAAAAGGACTTCTATATCTGGGATATTAAAACACTCACTGACAGGAACCACACCATTATATCGCAACATTATATACACTACATGATCTCAGGATGGTGTAACACTAATGAAGAGGGAAGGTCTGTGACACAAATGTAACATATTGGAGAAACCAAGGAGAAAGGGAAATGGCCTAAAAATACTGGGATTTGATTCAAAGAAAATGCTCAAACATTACCCACATCTCAAAGCAAAAAAAGGCTAAATCATCCAACTCTAGAAACTGAAAGGAATTTGCTAGCCTCTGTTTTACACATAACTCCTATTCTGTCATGCACCAATATAAAGAGGAACACCTCAAAATTTGTTTGGAAGTTTTAATCTCATATTTTTAGCAAACAAAAGCTCATGAAAGAAAAATCGGGAACAACTGCAGAACGATTCAGAAATCCTTACTCTGTTTTTCTGCTGTGGTGTTGTCATGTCTAGAAAAATAATGCTAAGGTGGTTTTATAAAGAATGCTCGTATTACAGAATTTATACTGCACTTTTTGCTTATTATGATCTCAGTTTCTTCTTAATCTGTTATAAAGGATCCAGCTGGTCTCATTAGTAAGCAATGTTGCTAATTGTCAGGCTGCACTGATGCTTCCTCTCTGTTCAAACTGGAAGTCAAATACAGCACACTGGGTAAGACATAGGGCACATAATTCTGATTTTCAGATAATCCAAATTCTCTCAAATCCAGATGACATACATCAACACAGATTTCTTAGTTGTTCTGCTCTTTCTCTTTCAGGCCACCATTCCTGGACAACTTTAGCTTCCTCACCATCTTAGTCTAAACTGTGGACCACACAGCAACATCTGTCATTTCAGCTATCTTTTTCAGAAAATATGTATATAATTCTGCAATCTCTACACACAGCAATGACAAGAACAGCAGTACAAATCTAAAATTACCTTTTTTTTTTTAAAAAAAAAGAGGCTTTATGGAAACAAGCATATTTGCACTAGTATTTTCTTCTAAAATAATGATTTAAAAAATTCAGATATGTCTAAAAATTGTTTGACCATAAGCTGCAAGGTACATTCACCTGTCGTGAAAACTTGGGGCCTTGGAAGAAAAAAAAAAATTTATGCGGATATATTTGAATCTCAAAACACTATTCCACAATGAGGCTGCTTGCAAAGTATATTTAAATCAGATGTGCCACAATTTCACTAACTGTTTTCTATCACTAAGCTTAAAAATAAGTTTGTGGCATTTTGTTTCTTTACCACATGGCCCATTAGCCTAAAGATCCTATGACCATCAGAACTGTGGTTTCCTCACAGCTATCTCCTCTCTTCGTAACTAAGGTACTATATTCTGGTCAGAAGCAAATTCCCCACATAGATAAGAACTACCAGGAATGGCTGTCCGCAGTAGTATGTTCACACAGGAAAAGAAAAACCAAAATGAAACACACAAACCAATTTTAGAGTGAAGACTGAAGTAAAAGAAAGCATTATTAAGCTTCCTCCTGCTATCAATATGTAAAAGCTTTTTTTTTTTTCTTCAAGTGAAGTTAAGCACAGGATACATGATTTTCATTATTTTGTAGAATTAAAATTCCAAGTCCAAAAGTTTGGTTGAATAGCATCCAGTAAATGTTTGTAGCTTAATCTGCCATATTCAAGAAAAGAAGTAAGCTTAGACATGGCTAGCTTTCGCCAATATAATTACACAGTCATCTGAAACACAGTGTCATCTGAAAGACATCCCCTCCACCCCATGCACTCACTCTGTCAGCAGATAGTTCTTTCTGTATTCAAAAGCAAAGCCTCAGTATCCCTATACACAAAGTCCTCTTTTTACTGTGGTTCTTGTACTATGTAAGTAGCTCTGTTTTAAAATGTTTTACATGTTACTTTGACATACTTAAATTCCAGTCAGAAATAGTATCATCATCATCAAGTTCATCGTCATCATCATCATCATCCTCAATACCATCTTCTTCATGTTGCTGAGCCACCGTCCGTGAACGATGAAAACGAGGTCTTATGTCCTGTTCACTATCTGGAATAGCTTCATCTTCTTCAACATCCCCCTGTCATCAAAATGTTTTATCAGATAAACTAGTCCAACTATATTGCTCAAGGAAATTAAGACTGTAGTTTTAGTTCAATATTTTATAAGCACATAAAGGATTCACACCCCACTTGTGCTGCCCAGCTAACGAAAAATGCCATTGTTCCTGCATTCTGCTGCCACATTTACCAGAAAAATGACAGGAAGACAGAAACAAAGAGAGGTAAGCTCCTGCACAAATTATCTTTCTTGTTAACAAATCACTGTTGGTGGGAATGAAATAGAAAGAAGAAGTGATACAGAAATTCTGGTACACAGACACATTCTAAAATGTGGCAATGGAAAAAGCCGTGTATTCAATTTAGAAGGCATTAGAGATAATTCTGAACATTTTTTTTTACACTGCACTGTTACAGTAGTTCATGTGTAATAGTATCCCAGCTCTGCCTAAGTTGGGTGGGTAGGGACAGGAGCAAAGAAGGAAAGCCTGCAGATTATTTTCTAACAAGCATGGCAGCAGTCACATTTAGTAATTGGAACAGCACACCTTCTCCAGAGAGCTAATTCTTCATCGAACAAGTGGTAGACCAGATATGCCTATGCTGATCTGAATAATTCCGATTTACAGGTCAAAAGCTAACCAGGTATTCATACAGAGTAGAAGAAATTGATGCTCACCTTCAACAGAATAATATCAATCTCTGAATATTTCATACCATTTACCAGCACAGGTATCAGCCTACAAAGAAATATTAATACGTGTCAAAATAACACTTAAAAAAGCAAGCAGCTTTCAGCTACACAGGCCATAATTTTGGTTGTAACCCTCACCCTCTCAGCCCAAAATTAAAAATAAAGCAAAACAAAACACCTTAGTCTGATAACAAAAGCTAGTAGCTAATCAAGCTCCATTTTATAAGATTCATCAATACTTTGTAATCTGAAAAAGTGTTAATTTCAAATTACAAACTTTTGACTGGAGGAAGCAAGATGGCACAACTCAGTTTTAAACTTTAGAAAGCAGATATTCTTCCATATGACAAATTTATTCTGAAGCACCTTTCAGAAATTAAGTCTAAAGGTTTTCAGTAAGAATTCAAACTCCCATAATACGCATGATAAACAATACTAAATTGGCTATCACCAACAGTACTTGTCACTTTATTTACTACTGGCTTAACACTACTCCATCACTACTCCCATCACTACTCTTAAAGATGGAAGACTAACTACATTAAGCCCCCCTGTCCTTTTGCAATTACTTCAAAAAGAGAAGTCCCCAACAGCCTAGAGATCTTGACTAATCTATATTAGGATTTCACTTAATTATTCAAACTGGTTATGGCTATGGGACTCTGACTGTACAGATGTATAGCATAAAAACACATTCTCAAAAAAAAAATCCATAAAAATATGTATTACATGTCAAATCAAGATAATAACGAAATCACCATTGACTGACCCTGCAACAGTGACAGACTCAACCTCTCTATACTCTGCAGCTGAGTAGTATTGTTTTTGATGGTACCAGGCCAACAATAATATTTACACACTGCAATGGCACATTACCTTCTACACTTTGAATGGAGGAGTAGTAAGTATTCACATTAACACTAATTCACTGCCATTTCTGCAGCACACTTCATGAAGTATGCAGGAGCTATGTATTATATAAGAAAGCCCACAGGAGCAAAATAGAACAAGATGCTAGGTATTGTATGAAAACGTTTTCTTGTTCTATTTTTAATTTAATATAAAAAAATTTAAGATTTTTATCAAGTATTTACAAACTTCTACAGCTCCCTAGTCTAACAGGACTCATCAAGTAAGTTGCTTTCAACAAACATAAAACTGAAGGATCATGAGAGAAATGTAGTATTAGTCATCTTTGCTTTTCTAAAAATTTATAAACTTTAAAAAAAAATATTAAAAATTGAGCATGCTGCTGTTGCAGTCTCCATGTTCATGTAGGCCAAAAACAGGTCTAATAGTAGTTGTTCTTAACTAGTAGTTAATAACTACTGTTATTCTCAGTACAAACATGATGTGTGTTGGGAATTGGGTGAGTAGACTCAAGAATTTCTCTTTTTTTTTTTGTTGAGCTAGAAGAGCAGAAATTTAGTAAAACCATTTTAAAACTTAAAAATTATTTCTCATAACATTGGTTCTTCTGTTTTCAACTCCTCCTCCTCCACTGCTACAGTAGGTGTTTTAATCTCAATTCTCTACTTTTCTAATTGCTTATGAAAACTGAAATTTTGCTGATTTTTCTTCAGTGGCTTCAAATCTATAATGCTTATTTTTGCTGAGAAGAATGCACCTCTTCTGGCTATGATTCTGTTTTTCCAGCCAAGGTCTTGAAAGAACTGCCCTAGTAATTTCAAAAACGTTCCATGCATATATAAAAACAAAGTGTCCGTTTACTGGGAACACTGAAGAATTCATTTCCTATTGCAGAAGGCTTCAGATTAGTCTGGAAAAAAGTTACAAGTGCTGTTGCAGATATGCAGATGTTTAAGTCTCAAACATGGATATTCATTCCCATTCAATCAAAGATCCACATTCTGAGGCATGGGATAGCTTCTTGAAATTTACAAAAAATAGTTTTTGAAACTTAAACTATCAGGCTGCAGAAGTATGAGGGAACACATTTTACCTGCTTTCTTCATGTTAAAACTGCAATAACAATTGATATAAAATTGATTCCTAAATCCAAGTGATGTCATGCCATTTTATTATGTTCTTTATAAGATGGTGAACACTTTGCATGACTATGCACACAGAAGCATTGCACAAAGATGCCTACACTAGCAGTAGTCAAGACAACATGTTTGTGGTAGCAAACACAAGATATTACAGGTAATGTCATCTGGAGATGTTTGTTTGAGCTAAAGTGCACGTTAGTACATCTTTGCACACATCTGAAGCTTAAGTGCATGTTAAGCTTGAGGTAAAGGACCACAATAATACAGTTTAGGTTGCTGCTAGAACTCCTTGGGTCTGATATCCTCAGAAGCCTTCTCAATGAACTCTGTGCTACAGCCATTTTTACCATGCACAAGAACTAGCTACAGGAGAATTCTTCTAAGCATACTGCAAGCCAGATACAGTTTTTATAGGAGTAACCAGGAACAAGTCAACTGAAGTTTAAAGATGACTATTTAAAAATAAATAGCAGTTTTAATTCTTAATACTTACTTAGTAAGATGCCGACATAATACATCTTTACAAATTGGCTGTTCAGCCAAGGTCAGCCAAAACTCACAAGCCTCCAAAGCCACATTTTCATCTTGGTCCTGGGTCCTCTGAAGCATGTACTACACAATGTAAAAATAAATCACTTTTATAAGATAGGGGTTTTAAGCGTCCAGAAGAAGCTACCAACGTAAAACGTGTTTGCAGAAGCAGACTATGCTACCATAGCAATTTTGTTTCTTTGGTGCAAGGGGATGAAACAGACGTAAGAGGCTACTTAAGGCTACAGTGAGAATAAGCTAAGAGAATTCCTTCTTAATGCTGGATGATTCAGACTCTAAATTTCGTCATTGTTTAAGTGAGAACATTATGACCAAGAAACTGCAGAGATCCAAGACAGCAGCAGTTGCCTCCGAATAGATTTTTTACATTATTTTTTTACTCCTCCTTCACACTTTTCAATAAAAAGGTACAACCCTTAATAAGATGGAAATACTTATTTCCAATACCACAAAAAAGCTTCCTTTCCAAATCTAGATTACCTAACAAGATGTAAGTAGAACCCATAGCAGAGAGAAAAAAAAAAGGCTTACATTTTTCTAGCATGAATGGTAATTCAGAGATTAAGTATCAAATCTTTAAGCTTGCTACTAACATTTAATCCTCCTTCATCTGAAAATAATCAAATACCTGCATAAACAAAAAGCCTAAGTAGACTACTGCTACATCAGCTTCTTACACACAACTGCCAAAACAATTTAGGGAAGACTCTTGCAACTTCCAAAATAGTTATTTCTGCATTCTTCCACGTTAGCCCTTATTTCAGGAATAGTTGGTTCTTCCATTCATTTTAGAAAACCTCATGGCAGTCCATGCAGCTACCTTTCCTCACACATGGATTTAGAGCAAAAGAAATACCTCTTCAATTGCTTTACCATTAAAGAGAATGGGGGGGACCTTTATTATCCCTATGCGTTTCAGGGATGCAAGACTTGCCATGAACACACTCCTTCCTACAGAAGCCCTGAGGCTGAGCGTGCCCTGAGGAAATTGGTGGATGAAGTTGCTAAGCCACTATGCATCACATTTGAGAAGTTGTTTCACACTAGTGAAGTTCCCACTGATCAGAAAAGGGGAAACATAACCCCCATTTTTAAAATGGGTAAAAAAGAAGACGCAGGGAACTATAAGCCAGACAGTCTCCCCTTGGCGCCTGGCAAGATCATGAAGCAGATCCTCCAGGAAACTGTGTTAAGGCACATGGAAAACCAGGAGGCAATTGGTGACAGCCAACATGGCTTCACTACGGGCAAATCGTGCCTGACAAATCTAGTGGCCTTCTACGATGGGGCTACAGCGTTGGTGGATAAGGGAAGAGCAACTGAGGTCATCCATCTGGACTTGTGCAAAGCATTTCACACTGTCCCACACCATACCCTTTTCTCTAAAATGGAGAGACATGGATTTGATGGATGGACCACTCAGCGGATAAGGAATTGGCCAGATAGTAGCACTCAAAGAGTTGCAGTCAACACCTAGATGTCCAAGCGGAGACCAGTGACAAGCGGCAATCCTCAGGGGTCAGTACAGTCAAATTGGTGCTGTTTAACATCTTTGTCAGTGATATGGACAGTGGGACTGAGTGCACCCTCGGCAAGTTTGCCAGTGACACCAAGCTCTGTGGCGTGGTCGACACGCTGGAGGAAAGGAATGTCATCCAGAGGGACGTGGACAGGCTTGAAAGGTGGGCCTGTGTGAACCTCATGAAGTTCAACAAGGCCAAGAGCAAGGTCCTGCACGTGGGCTGGGGCAATCCCAGGCACAAATACAAACTGGGCAGAGAATGGCTTGAGAGCAGCCCTGAGGAGCAGGACTTCGGGGTGCTGGTTGATGAGAAGCACAACATGACCTGGCAATGTGCGCTCACAGCCCAGAAGGCCACCCGTATTCTGGGCTGCTTAAAAAGCAGTGTGGCCAGCAGGTCAAGGGAGGTGATTCTGCCCTTCTATTCCACTCCAGTAAGACCTCACCTGGAGTCCCCAGCATAAGAAAGACATGGACCTGTTGGAATGTGTCCAGAGGAGGGCCACAAATACGGTCAGAGGAAAGGCTGAGGGATTTGAGGCTGTTCAGCTTGGAGAAGTGAAGGCTCTGGGGAGACCTTATTGCAGCCTTTCAGTACCCAAAGGGGCCTGCAAGAAAGCTGGAGAGGGGCTTTTTACAAGGGCATGTGGTGATAGGACATGGGGTAATGACTTCAAGATGAAAGAGGGTAGATTTAGATCAGATATAAGGATGAAATTCTTTACTCTGAGGGTGGTGAGGCACTGGAACAGGTTGCCCAGAGAAGCTGTGGCTGCCCCCTCCCTGGAAGTGTTCAAGGCCAGGTTGGATGGGGCTTTGCGCAGCCTGGTCTAGTGGAAGGTGTCCCTGCCCATGGAAGGAGGGTTGGAACTAGACGATCTATAAAGGTCCCTTCCAAGCCAAACCAATTCATTCATGATTAAGAACTCACATAACAGAAATATTGCACTATTCTGAGTTATCAATAGATTGCAGCTTGGAAAAGCTGAAAAACCTCCTACTCATTGCAAGCAAGGCTTCCTTAATGCACCTAGTGGAAGGTGTCCCTGCCCATGGAAGGAGGGTTGGAACTAGACGATCTATAAAGGTCCCTTCCAAGCCAAACCAATTCATTCATGATTAAGAACTCACATAACAGAAATATTGCACTATTCTGAGTTATCAATAGATTGCAGCTTGGAAAAGCTGAAAAACCTCCTACTCATTGCAAGCAAGGCTTCCTTAATGCACCTTAAATTAGAGGATTTGGCATTTTTCCCCAAAGAGCTTGAAAATCCACTATTTTCTTGCGGACTTGTTACTTGTCAGGAAGACAAAACCAGAATGACAAAAAGTAATCTGTTTGAAGATGCCCCTCACACTGTTTTTTCGGCTTTAAGTATCTATTGTAAAGTATTGTACTATATGGTCTATGAAGTTAGATAGCAGTAGATTGAAATGGCTGCTTACACTCAGTGGTGTAAGATAGCCATATACACAGCTTGGAAATCATAGCAAGAACAGTGATCCTAGCAACAAAGCAAAACGTGGGAAGGGTACTCGAAAGCTTTTTTAATATTATCATGCCAAATTTTAATCAGTACTTTCAATGATACAAAGTTCTACTGACTTTAGGCAATGCAAGTAGTTGCTTCATCACAATAAATTACAAAATAGCATAGGAAGATTACTCAGTAGAGTTTTATGTACTCTTTAACGTAAATAGTGTTGTGTTAGTCTTGTTAAGTCACACCAAGAAGAAAATAATAGTGGGATACACAAACCATTAAGAACAGATCCTTTGAGCATAACCGGCATGTCTTTATCTGAAGAAAGTAACATGATGCAGAAGTCTGGATTTCTACTGACATAGACCTTAGGAGCTGTGAGTTTGGATAAATACGCTCTGTGAGCAAAGTAGTGCAATCTAATAATGGAAATGTCAGGTTGGTCTGCTTCTGACATATCCTGTTATCAACTTTTCAGACAAAAAAAGGAAAAATATGTGCTTTTGCTCACCTGGAAGTGCATGCTCAAAAACTTCAGTGAAATCCAAACTCAGCCATTCCCATATGCTCCAAATATTTGGCAAGAAAGTTAATACTAAACCTGTCTGCTTCAAAAGCATGATGCCTGCCAAGACCTTCTTAGAATCACTACTGGATCATTAATATTCTTTATTTTAAAAGTGATTCTCCATAAACATAAAGAATATCATGTAGATACAAGTTTCTCTTTTTTAGGACTTTCTTCACTTAGAGCAGCCATCAGCAGCAGCATTCAGCTTGGAGACATTAAAGTCTCAAAGGTGCAAAATTTGACTAATCTGAATGCTGTACAATAGTCAGTTCTGGGATATTACATTTGCACATACCAGGATGTATACAGAACTGGGGAATCTAGTAACAGTACACAGTAGTCCCAAAACTGAAAAAAAAAAAAGTCTAACTTTGTGTTACAGAAGAGAACATCACTACTACTGTCTTTTGTAGAGAGGAAGCCTAGCAACAGTTTACCCAAGAGCAAAATACCAGATACAATGAGAATACGAATTACTAATCTTAGGAGGCTGAAGAGCCAGAGAATTTTTATTCTCTCTCAAATACCAAAAAATCTCTAAACCAGCCAACCAACAAAACCCCACCACCAAGTACCAACAACCATTTTCTGCAACCCCAAACAGGTTTCAGCACACAATTTAGGAAATGAGACTCACCTCAACTATACTAATCATATGAGGAAGCAGGCGATCCATTCGAACTTCCAGCAACATTACCAGAGCACGGCAAACATTTTTGCGTACTTCAGGCTCTTCATCACCAGCCAGTGCAAAAAGATTCTGTTGGAAAGTAATGCCAGTTGAAAAAACTCAGTTCATCTAGTTCAACTTGTATTTAAATTGACAGTATTGGCAAACTAAAAGTATGCAAATATGTACTGCTGTACTGTCTCACCTCACATCTCAGAATACCATTTTATTTCTTAAAGACATATGGTTCAGCAAATTAACTCTTCAGACTCTCAGTGTGTATTGTATACAGAACTAAAACACAGCATAATATTAGCACTGGCACAAGAACAGTATACCCTGTTTGTTTGGTTTTTTTTCTCCTAAACCTAAATGAAGTTCTGAAGACAGAAAAATCCATCAGTACATAACAGCAGCAAATCAAATACTCTAGACAACCCAAAATACCACCTTTCTAATCCATGTTCAGTAGCAGTATTCAGAGATACCTAGGTGGACTTAGTGACATGATGATCCCTGTACTCCACTTTCTGTCATAGGTAAGTGACAGACTGCTGTCATTACTTTTACAGCTTTATGCAACAAGAATCTCCTCTGGTTACGAAGAAGAAACATCTTTCAAAATACCTTTTTTTAGGCTTGGAGAGTGCTTAGACTAATTGACTCTGAACACAAGCATACAGAATGAACTGCAATCCATGGGGACAGAACCAAAGAACAGGCAACAGGAACTGGGGACTTTGGGGGTAGAAGTAGTTGTAAAACATAATTCAAAACTCTTGATAAATCAGATATATAACTCGGCTTAACCTCCCAACCAAGAAAGCACACCCACCTCAATAAAAGAATCTATGTGCAACATAAGAGCTTGAGTTCTGCTGATGATAAATTGATTGACACATGCAACAGCATGAGACCTGCAAATGGAACAGTTAAAATACACATTTTTAATGAGTTAAAATAATTTTCTAAACTGTACATAGGCATCAAAAACATTAGGAAGCAAATTACATTGTCGAAACATCTTCCAGATCTCTGCAGGATCATTTAAAAAGACTAAACATGTTTTAAATAGATCTACAAAGTAGCAACCCTGCTGCTCACGTAAATAAAAATTTAACAGGTAATTGTACTACAACACCTTAACCTACCTTATTTTTGGACTGCTGTGCTTGAAGAACTGCAAGAATTTAGGTATCATGATATTGAGTGGTCGGTCCAATACATCACTATCTAAAATTTCAGCAGAATCTTCACATATCTTCTGAAGTGCGCCAAATGCACCCTGTTTAAAAAAAACAACAAAAAACTCTTCATTCACATTCCGAATACAGCAAAATTTCAGGTTTTGTACAGAACAGGTAATTTCAGAACAACACAGTAAACGCAGACAGTTAATACAATAAACATGGCTAACTGAATGTGGAGTTAAACTGAAACATACTTGAAGTCTTTTTATTTAAGCAGTTTATACCAGCACCTGTAAGTTCTCAAGCTGGGTGAGTCACTGGACAAGTGGTAATTTTAATTATAGCATTCAATGCTCATGTATTCAATCATATTTTAAAAAGCGCTTAAAAGCTGGTTCTTATTTGAGAAATAAATGCCCAGGTGCAGAAGTACCCCATTAAATTTATACGTAATGATATTACCTTTCATGGTTTGTTATGCAGCAAAACAGAACTCTGGATATGACAGTCAATTTGAGTTTCATTTTCAAATGTTTTTTTGTTTTTCTTCAGAAAGCAGCACTAAAACACTACCTAAACAGCATAGCATCTTGAACCATTATTCTATGTCTGAGGATTATTTATACAATATGCTTCACACACTTTCATGGACACAGTATCAAGTCAATGAAATTGCGTGATAAAAAAAAAAAGTCAGAAAACGCTTGTTTCCTCTTCATAGTTTAAAGCAGTTAAGTAGGTATTTATTTATTTTAATTCATACATACCGAAAAAACCAGTTCATTTCACCCTGATATAACAATGATGGATTGTTTTTAAATCACAAGAAGAATGAACACCACTTTTACGTAAGAGAAAATTCAGGGTCAGCTTGATGATGCTGATGATGGCTAAAAGATTAGGCATCACACAGTGGTAACTTCAGGAGACTTCTCAGCTGAAATGCTATGACTACCCACCTACAGTCTTCTTCTGCTTTTATGCAATGAAAACAAAATTGTTTGAATGAATAGTAAGGACATGGAATGCAGAAAAAGTATTAAATTTGAGCTGCTGTTCTTTGAGGAGAATATATGTGCATGTATACACACACATACACTACTGTACATATACCTACTGTCTGTGAAGAGAGACAAAAATAATCAAATTCAGACCATAATCTTCTATTTTCTGTAAGTTTCCTTACCTCACAGGTATTGTAATCTTCAGAATCCAACAGGCTGCAAAGCTTGGGTAAGAGTTCAGGCCAATTCTGTAATTCTCCTTTTGAGGCAATGGTTGTTATCAGAATGCCTAAAGAAATCAGAGGGATGAAGGAAATGAGATCTCACATTCAGATTGATCTCATTTGAGAAAATTCTCACATTGAAATTGGTCTCTCACATGAGATCATCATGTTTCATACTAACTTTTCTCATTTTCTCCTTTCAAAGATCTAAGGAGTTAAGAAATGTCTTGTTTTGTGAAGAACTGGCGAGCATAAAAAGAGGAACGGTATTTCAAGGGCTTTGAAATGCAAAGGTGAGTTCTTCCTTCCTGCTACCGTGAAGGGCTCAGACATGAGAAATCAAGCACAAAGTAATTTCAGTTAAGGAAATAATCATGCCCAAACACTACAGGGCAGCTTTGGCTCTAAATTTACTAAACACTGCACAAATCTTGACCTCAGTAAATATACAGTATCCAGCTCAAGTCAACTCTTCTTTATTATGACACTAAAGCATAAATGTGGGAAGCTGTCATTGAATAAACTTACAACTGGTAAGTTATGTGTTCACAACTTTACTGTGTTTACACAAAATGTAAAGGACACATTCTAAGACCGAGATACCTACTAAGAGCTTGCACACTATGGCAGGTCATCCAGTGATCAGCTGTAGGGGTTGGCTGATTGAGATCCAGCAAACAGATACGTCAGCCCAAAGGGTCACTAATTCTGTTTCCACACATACAGAAATCCCAAGAAAAACTAATTAGGTGACAGGAACAGGGAAGGCTGCTTATGAACTAGGACTGACTTTATGAATCTATTTTGCCTCAAGACAAAATGAAACAGGTACCATAATCCACTGTGATACTGACAGTTACTTCTAATGAATATGAACACAGAAGAACTTGATACTGCTACAACTAGTAATCTCCCAAGCAACAAGTGATGAAAAAAGCTTTCCTAAGCTTTTTCATTGAGCTAATCACAATATATCATTTTTCTTTGGAATAATTCTTATTAAATACACAAGAACACAGGACCACAATACAGAGCAAAGGACATTCTGGACAAGACACACAGTAACTAAAGATATTTTGCATCATATTTCCTTTGATGCAATAAAGCTGGAGAACCCACGGAGACAAAGGGTAAAAATGAAGACAGAGCTAAACCACAATTTTACAGCTCCAGAAGTAGTTTGTATCCAGTTCTCTTCATAACTGCAACTGAATAGAAAAGATTCCCAAAAGCCTATGGAGATCTATGGAGTCTTAAAGACCGCATTTCTCCTGAATATTATGGTCCTGCAAAGAATATCAGATGCATTAATAGAAAATACTTATTTTACTGTTGCTGTATCTCAATGATCCTTTCTTTTTTTTAGATTAAATTTAGCCTCACAAAAAGAACAAAATAAATTCAATTTCTTGTCTCCTAGACAAAGGACTTAAGCTGTAAATTTGCCTTCCTAACTTAGATCTGGCACAGGTTTGTAGACTTAACACAGGCTCAGACACAAACATAAGAATGAAATTCCTGGAACTCCTCTGGACTATCATGTGACAGAAGTTCTATCATAATTCTAAAAGGGGTAGGTGGTTTCAGAAAAGAGTTGGTTGAAGATCTTTTCAAGGTCCTAGAAGTGGTTTCAGAGGATGACAAATGGTCTGGCTATACTTGTAATATGTGCAAGCTTTCACAGCAGAAGGAAAGACTATATGAAAACTACTTCAAGTGTTCCATGGAAAGGCTTATTGCAGATAGCGACAGGATAACCTAGGAGGAAATACTTCCAGCTGCACAGGCAAGAAGTGACTTCAGGCCACTGCCCCTTGCAAAGATCAGAGCTTACATGCATTACGAACTTCTTGTACAGATCTATGGAAAACCCATTTAATGCTGTGCTAGTGTTTTTGAAATGATAAAAATACAGTTTGATGGGGAGAAAAAAAAAGAATACTGTCAGACTATCAAGACCTTAGAAAGGCAACAGCTACAGCATTTGAAGCTTTGTAAAAGGTTTTAAGAACAATGAGGAAGCAGCCACATAAAATTAAGTTTTAGGCACTGATGTTCACGTTAAAAGGAATCTTCCTGGACTTCTAATGAGCTTCATCTCCTTTCAAACGTGAAATTTTTCCCACACACCTGCTGCTTTATTTGGCCATCAGGGAACAGAAGACACTAGAGATTAGCCTTTGTGGCTTTCTCTGCAACACTTGAGACACAAAAACATGGACATGAGAAGAATAACTGAGGTAAAGAAATAACCAGTTTAGTAGTTTGCAGCTTTTTGACAGGTTTGGGCTAGAGCTGACAGTTAAAACAGGCCTCTCCTCCTGACCAACACACTAAGCTGCAAGGTTAGAAATCTGAAACTGAACGTCTTCATAAAGATGGTTGTCAATTTGTAATGAACTTCACAACAGTTTTACATAATCTATTGATATTTCACTTGACAAATGTGAAATCTAACCAATATAGCAGTGGGGCTAATTGAGCAGTAAATATACAAGAGAACGAAGTCCAGAGGGAGGTCAGAAATTGTTAAAAACATAAGCATAATTGCGATGACACCATCTTTTATGTTACTGTTTCAATTACACGTAACCCCAGTTTACAGCACCAATTCCACTTAAAAAAAATTGGAACAATGAGAAAGCAGCTATGCTTCAGTACTTTCATGCCAATAACAGGACAGCGGGAAGGCTGGGGTTTTTCGGGTGGCATTTTGCCTTTGTAGCTCTTAAAGTTGATTTCTGAACTCCCTAATTCTAAAAAGCTGAACTTCATAGCAAAATTCCGCCTCACAGAGCAATTCTTAGCTTTCACTTTCCTTCAGCAGTGAAGCTGTCCAGTCCTGCCACTGCTCTCTAACACTCAAAATATTTCTCCTGCGTGCTTTTAAGCAGCAGTTACACTAAGGTCCTGCCCAGACTAGAATCCCCAGAAAGTTTTAAAAACAGTCACAGAAACTTTCTAAATAGAATTTATTTCCCGGTAAGTTTGTGGGTCCTGAACACATGCAGCAACCTTTTTTGAACTTGAACCTGTATTTCAACATTGCCACACGGGTTTTTAAAACCTGTACCACACAGCACAGAGAAGTTCCACACTGTTCCTCATCTGGGGATTAAAATGGGGAAAAGCTAAATAAGGACACAGCACTGTGTAGATACCATTTGGTCTCAAGTCACAGTTCTAAAATCGACTCTATTGCCATGCTCATTCTCCTCAGCGAGGTGACTTCTGAAGGATGGGATTAATCAGCTTGCCTCCATCCCAGCCAAAACGTATCAGCTATTGTCTGATTAGCACTAGGTGCAAGAGACCACAAATGAGAGTGAATGCTGCATTAGATCTTCTCTGATGCTATCTATCTTGAAGTACTTGCTCACCTTCCTTTCAGAATCACAGAGCTGTTATTTGCAGTTGGCTCATTAAATTCGTAGCACTTCAACTGCCAAAACCCCTATGCATCTTAAAAAGCAGCTGTAACTAGCACCTGCCAACTCATATGCTAACAAGGCAGCCTAGGTAGGTAGCAATATATTTACACCTAGCTAGTAACTAGAGACCAGTGCGTACTGGACCAACCTCACTATTAAGACAGAAAGCTAAAAAGAGCCAACATTTAATTACTTCAAATGGGAGGGTGCAAAGCATGTGCTAAATAGGAACTCTTACATAAGCACACAGTTCATGGGTTGATACTCATCTTCAGAGTTCACACGTGCTTGAATAATATCTGCAAGTATCAGTTAAAGCTGAACTGTAATTGAGCTACTAATCCACAAACTTTTGTACTAGGAAAAATCAAAGAATAACTGCTTGAAAACGAACAAATCCTCCATGTCCCAAAAAACCCATCCCTCCAATCACCCCCACCAAACAACAGTCAGACAGCAACCCAAATGGAGCTGGTATAAATTCTTTAGTCAGCTCCATTGTACTCCACTGACAACTCCTACGAACAAACAAGCACGCGTGACTCTTCTACAACCTCAAATCACCTGCACTCAAAGACTTGTTTCTACTGTCATTAAGAAAATGGGACATTAATAAAATTCATAGTAAAGCAGCTTCACAAGTGATGAGACACCAGGAAAAAGCTAAGAGATGACCACTTCTCTCTAGCCAATAGTCCATAATCCAGATGCCTGGAGAAGGAGTTCTACAGAAAAAACAAAGGATCCTAAAGGAGCAGTAACGGGTAGATTACTCCAATCTTCAAAAAGGGCAAGAAGGAGGACCCAGGGAACTACAAGCCCGTCAGCCTCACCTCCATCCCGGGAAAGATGATGGAGCAGCTCATTCTAGAGGTCATCATCAAGCAAGTGGAGGAAAAGGTTATCAGGAGTAGTCAACATGGATTCACCAATGAGAGACCATGCCTGACCAATCTGATAGCTTTCTACGATGGCATGACCGGCTGGGTAGATGAGGGGAGAGCCGTGGATGTTGTCTACCTCGACTTCAGCAAGGCTTTCGACACAGTCTCTCATAACATCCTCCTAGAGAAGCTCAGGAGGCGTCGGATGGATGAGTGGTCAGTGAGGTGGATTGAGAAGTGGCTGAATGGCAGAACTCAGAGGGCTGTCGTCAGCAGTGCTGAGTCTAGTTGGAGGCCTGTAACCGCGGAGAGGGACCTGGGTGTGCTGGTGGACGACAGGTTAACCATGAGGCAGCAGTGTGCCCTGGCTGCCAAGAAGGGCAGTGGGATCCTGGGGTGCATCAAGAGGAGTGTGACCAGCAGGTCAAGGGAGGTTCTCCTTCCCCTCTACACTGCCCTAGTGAGGCCCCATCTGGAGTACTCTGTCCAGTTCTGGGCTCCCCACTTCAAGAAAGACGAGGAGCTACTGGAGAGAGTCCAGTGAAGGGCTACGAGGATGATTTGGGGACTGGAGCATCTCTCCTATGAGGAAAGGCTGAGGGAGCTGGGTTTGTTCAGCCTGAAGAAGAGAAGGCTGCGAGGGGACCTTATAAATGCTTATAAATATCTGAAAGGTGGGTGTCAGGAGGATGGGGCCAAGCTCTTTTCAGTGGTGCCCAGCGAAAGGACAAGGGGCAACAGGCACAACCTGAAGCAGAGGAAGTTCCGTCTGAACGTGAGGAAGAACTTCTTCACTCTGAGGTGACAGAGCCCTGGAACAGGCTGCCCAGGGAGGGCGTGGAGTCTCCTTCTCTGGAGATGTTCAAGACCCACCTGGACAAGATCCTGTGCAGCCTGCTGTACGTGACCCTGCTTCAGCAGGGGGGTTGGACTGGATGACCCACAGAGGTCCCTTCCAACCCCGAACATTCTGGGATTCTGGGATTCTATGATCATTTTCTAAGAGCAGTCAGCTGATACATGCTGAATTTCTTTTTGAACTGACACCCACCCCCATTTTCTCCGTTGTACTCAAACATATATTCATTTTACTTTTTTCTATTTTTTTTGAGCGGACAAGGAAAATTACTATAATAATTGTATGAATTGGAGGAAATCCTATTCTCAAAGACCAGAGAGAAAAGCAACTTTACCTAGAATTAAGTAAAAATAGTGCAGATATGCATATTTTATGGAAGAGGTGTACTAAAACAATCTACAAAATCGGAAATCCATGTAACAAAAAAAACTGCTCAATGGAACTAGATGATCTTTAACGTTCCTTACAATGCCAACCATTCTAAGATGTTCTGTGCACCACACTTTATCTACTGTTTTCTGACAGAAGGTCTTAAAAAACAGAAACTCATTATGTAAATGTATTATGCATGGTATGACAGCTCCCTGAAGGGATGGGCATGTGTGTGCATATGGGAGGCGGGGTGCAGGAAATCAGCTAACAGAAGTGTTTCATTGATGCAGGCGGAGTACTGAAATAGTTCTGAAGTCAGACCTTTACCTTGTTCCTGGTTTTAGGTATAGAAACTGGCAGCAAGCTAAGTTTTAGTAGATTCAAATAAACTTCAGTTTAGCTACATTTCAAGAGATATGAACTGAATTGCTAAACAATTTCTAAGAGAATAGGATGCAAAAGTAAGTGTGACTTTCATATATGCACACCGAAGGTAAATATCAGCGTTAAAACATGGTAAAGTTGTGACAATTATCAGAAGCACACAGTTTTAGGAGTTTAATAACTCCTTACGTCCCTAGTGCAGCTCTCAGCTGTATCAGTAACATTTTCAGCATGCATAGGACAGTAAGAGCACACTTACCTACAGTAGCTCTAATTAAGGGGGAGGAATCACCAATGTTGTTCAGACATTCACTTTTAATGAAGTCAGTTACCCCATTGGGAAAGTTATGAAAATGTGCTTTTACATTATTCTTCAAGATGAGACCACTCAAGGAACGTGTCGGTTCATCTACAACAGAAAACAGTTACATTCAACCTTCAGTCAGCTCATAGGAGTAAGGCAGAATTCTACAACAATGCAGCAAGAGCAAAGCTTACAGAGAGAGACATTAATCTTCATTGTCCTATCTCTCCTTCCAGCTACACCCAGTGAGCTCTTTTTGCGTGCAAATTTCTCTAAATTATTGAGACAAGAGGAGGAATGGAAAAAGAACACCTTAGATTTTTCATTTGTATTGGAGCAGACTCCTGTTTGGTTCTTCAGACAAGGGCATAAGTCACTTAGTATTACTTCTAAAATATGCTGAAGGTGAGATCTGGATGTTCTATACAGAAAAGATTAGTTTATAGTACAGGAAAATTTAAATTTACAGTTTACAGCAACCCTAGTCAGCACAGGCAGCTAATTATAATCAGAATTTTAGCCACTTGTTTGAATTTTTTTTGTATGAAGCCCTGATTTGGGCAAGAAAGAGCTATGTTCGAAATTCATTTGCACCAAGAACTAGTTTACACACTGATCTACTCCAGGCTTTCAAAACTATTAACATCCCAATAAAAAAATAAGGATAAGCAAAATAAGAGATATAACTTTCAAATATAAGGTATTCTCAAACTAAAGCTATTGCATCACAACACCAAGACTCTCAGTACACCCACGATGTCTGACTGACAGACATTTACTTTCTATTGTGATTCTGTTAGGACATAAACAGTGTTTCTTTTTAAGAGGCATTTTTGTTTGGCTGATCAGAAATTAAAATTTATGTTAATCAAGTGATTTTGAGTGCCAAAACCAGACTGGCATCATACACTTTTTCATCTTGTTTTTATGTTCATATTTCAGTTCTTCCTAAGGAAGCATTATTTCTTGGGCTCCATAAGTGTATTGATTTACAAACAAACACAGCCTTTATGTAGAATTCAGTAACTTTATAAATAAGGAAGCCACCCTACGCATACGTATTTGAAACAATTCTATAACTTTACTACACTATAGGTTTTAAATAGCCACCAATTCCTAAACAATATGAAAATAAAAGTAATTTCACTTGCACAGCACTGCATTTCAAGAGCCAACAACTTTTCTGGAAGAATGGAGGAGGAAGGAATAAAGGGTTTATTATTTTAAATAAAAATATTGAAGACTGGATGAGTGGACAAACTGTTCTCAAGTACAGAGCTTGGTTGTGAGATGTGACAAGTGTTACTACCATTACTACTTGGCAAATCAAGTAATTATGTAATTTTGTTTTAATTTTTGAAGACGTCATTCATAAAGATCAGGTGGAGAATGACCTAAAGAAAGAAGTTCTCATTTGTACTCTTGATCAGCCTGAAATATTATCTGAATTAAAAGTAAAATCTCCGCATCAACTCTTATACCAATACAACATCTCAAACTCAGATTGCTTTACCTAACGGTAGTCCATTGATAGGTACACACATTTTCAAGAAATCCAGTCCTCCATATATGATTATTAAGATTTACAGTTGTGCCTGGTGAGGAAGGAAGCCAAAGGAGTCTTCCTTTAACTTCCACAGGATCTAAAACCCTTGCAAGCCACAATAAACCATCATCGTCAGCAGCCAAAGTTAGACACAATACGATAGTTACTCATTCTGTATCAGCCAGCAGTATCTTCTTGGGGTGAAAGAAGTCAGAGTACAATCCAAAGTCTGATTAGAATATAGTACATTAGCCACTATTAGTATAAACTCTAGCATGAAAATATTAAACACTGCATTAAGGAAAAACTTTAATCCTTTCGAATGCCTGGCTACAACTACAAAAGCGACAAGGCAACAGCTTCAATTTAACCAAGCAGAGATACACATACTATTAAGTTCCTTGTGTTAGAAATAGGCAGATCAGTCAGCTGGCTTAGATAAAAATCAAGGTCACATTAATCTGAAACTTCAGCACCATTTTTTTCTTCATGAACTATCCCACGGTGTGCAGCAGCATGAAACATCTTAAATCCATTCCTTTAGCTAAGATAACAGAAAGACTATTCCTCATAATAAGTGTTTATCCCAGAGACCTGCAACAAAGATTCCAAGGGATTCATAGTGAAAGGTGCATCTCTGACAAACAAAAAAGAATTCATGAAGTGAGAAAAAGAAGAAAGATTAAAAATAAAAACCAAACCCAATTATCACCATACTGAGAGGTGACAAGCAGATATCACAAAGATGGACTTAGTGCTGAACAAACACCAACCACTTGAGCTAGAGAAGCAGTACAGAATCTGATACTCAGGCACTTAAAGCAGTACAGAATCTGATACTCAGGCACTTAAAAAAACAACAAAACCAAACCATAGTCAAAATCTTAATTGGAAAAAAATAAATTCTGATATGACTGCATAGGGTTATTTATGGAATCCAGGGTGTTGAACAACTTAACAGCTACACTGTCAGAAGACAGTAATGTAGATCTGGATGGAGTTCTTGCTGTAACACTAACACCAAGATTACAGGCAGATGGCCTAAGAGCTGAGTAAGACACTCCTTAGTCTTCATAGATTCTGTGATAAGTTCTGTCAGCCATATGCTTCAGCCATCAAAAAAGATCACAGTCTTGCCTCCTCCTATCTCAGTAAACTTGGAAGTATAGAGAATTGACAAGAACATATAGTACAAGAAAAAGAAGGCAAGCGAAGCAGACCTCTGGCACTTGGTACTATATTTGGTGCCAAATCAGTTCATCAGCAGAAGACTCCTCACTCACATTGCCTCACTTTGTAATAAAATCCTATCACATAATCATTATTTGGTTCTCAGTAAATTTTCAATTCTGTTGCAAGACTCTAAAACTAGATCCAGACTTTAATAGTTTACAGACAGCAAATAGACGCATACCAACATTACACAGATATCAATTATTTTAAGGCTACTGCAGTGCTTTTAAAAACTAGAGTGTGTCCTCAAACAGCCATATTTCCTCTAATGAGGGTCTGTATGATGTAGGGTGCATATGTGAAAGCAACGAGGTTTTTGTAGCTCACCTGCAAGTCTAAGTAAGCATTTGTTCCACCATGCCTTTTCATCCTCTCTTCCTTAGAACATAACTTCCTAGGTTGCTAAAAAAGCTGAGTGACTGGGATGAGGGTAGTGTTTATCCATTCACAGACCGATGTAATCATTATGAGCATGGCTACATTTTGCCCTATTACTCTTGTGGTATCAGCAACTTTAAATGTTAGGATGAGACTTCTTCCAAAGCAGAACTGCTCTGTCAACTGCAGTCTTCAAGCTGTCCAGCATTTTTCAAAATAAGCTGTCATTATGTGTGTTTTTATACTGATTTAATATGTACAAATACAAAATGTGATAAAAATCATGACTAGTGTCACTGTTCCACATGTACACTTCTAATCCATTAATGAGAGATTGGCTGTCTCTTTTAAGAGCTAAAACCAAAAGTAAGGATCCTACCAAAGCAGTATCATATGTGAAGCAGAAGACAAATAATTTCTTCTGTCACAATGTATAAGAATACTGTACAGAGACACCTTTATTAGCTTCCTAGCAGAATCAGATCCTACTTTTTTTTTTTTTTTTATCCTGGACTCATAAGTAACCTTAACACTTTCGGCTTAAACTAGTATGTTCTACTATCATGTCAGAAGCAGGACTGACAATATTTGAAAACACTGTGTATCTGAATACATACATGATCTTGAAATGGCTAGTCTGAAATTCATCAGTGCTCAGTTGACTCATGTGAGTCATGGAAAATAATTTAACACAACTACCTGAGTTTAGGAACATCTGTAAGACACCAAAACAAAGCTGGAGATCTTCACAGAATCACACAGAATCCCAGAATGTTCGGGGTTGGAAGGCACCTCTGTGGGTCATCTAATTCCAGTGCTCCGTCACCCTCAGAGGGAAGAAGTTCTTCCTCACGTTCAGACGGAACTTCCTGTGCTTCAGTTTGTGCCCATTGCCCCTTGTCCTGTCGCTGGGCACTACTGAAAAGAGTTTGGCCCCATCCTCCTGACACCCATCCTTAAAATATTTATAAGCATTTGTAAGGTCCCCTCGCAGCCTTCTCTTCTCCAGGCTGAACAAGCCCAGCTCCCTCAGCCTCTCCTCATAGGAGAGATGCTCCAGTCCCCTCACCATCCTTGTAGCCCTCCGCTGGACACTCTCCAGCAGCTCTTCATCTTTCTTGAACTGGGGAGCCCAGAACTGGACAGAGTACTCCAGATGGGGCCTCACTAGGGCAGAGTAGAGGGGTACATCTTCTGCTGATGCTGAGCGTTGCATATTCATTGAGTAATAAGTAGCAACAACTTTGCTTCTGAAGACAGTGTTGTAAACAAAACTGAGGTGTGGACAATATGGGAAGCGTGTTGAACTGCTGACCAATAATCAGCTTGTTGGTTAGTTATGGAAGTTTCTGCATTCTAACTCATAATTACTATAGGTCCATCAGAATGCCAGAATTCATATATTTCTGCAGGCTTGAAAATCCACAAAAAGTTTAAAGAACTAATCCTTTGATTTCCCTCCTACTTCCAGCTTGTCTTTTATATCTCCACAAGCTGGTCGACTCAGCGTTTTTCCTCTCTACTGACAGTTTATGTATCACCTCCTGATCCTGCAGTTAGATTAGTGCTAGAATTCTATGAAGAGCTGAAGAATCCTTAATCAGAAACAGAGATTCAGTGTGATGAGAGTATGATTCACCACAGGATCCCAAACTATGTAACGAATGGAGGCTATTGTTCCAGTTTGAGAACATCTAAAAAGTAATGTCATCTCTCTTTGGTGTTTATTTGCTGGGGGTGGAGGTGAAAATGACAACTACCTTCGCACTAAGTCAAGTGCACAGGGAAAGGAAATTATGAGCTTCCCAATGGAAGTTGCATAGATGGCATTTGGCAGCGAATTAGTTAGGATTTAGAGTCACTAACCTATCTGAAGAAATGACTTGGTCAGATGAACAGAAGTTTTGTCACTCTTTGAATATATCAAAGGTGAAGGTTAGATATTAAA